GTTTAAAACGAATGGTTTCAAAAAATGGCAGGGGCTTTTCCAATCCAGCCCCCCCTTTTTTTCCCCCCCCCCCCCCCCCCACTTCGTTCTCTACAAAAAGAGATACAAGAAGAGCTCTGCTGAACGCACATGTGCTGGACTTGGGACGTGTAGCTATGGAACAAAGGGAAAGCAAACGCAATATTCGGGTTCGATTTGAGGCGACTTCGAAGAAGTAGAGCAGCGAGTGAAGAAATGCTCGTGCAGCAGCTAAGTCTGCATGCACAGTGCCGTTTTGTCAAGACGGCCAACGCAATTTCAATCACAGGCAAAGAAGGGAGGGGGCTGATTATAGCGAGCGGAGACTCGAGCCAAAAGGGGGAGCAAGAGTAGACTCATTCATTAAAAAAAAAACAGAAGCGAGGACAAATTCCACGACACAAGAGTTCGAGCGATATCGATAGCCAAAGCGAAGCAGACAAAAGTTGCCAAGGTGGGAGCTGGGCCACTGGGGCCCAACACCTACAAGCGTTGCTTGGAGCAGAGCTAAACAGTAAGGGGGTTTCAAATAAGTCATGGCACAAATAATTTGGACACAGGGAAGAACGTCAAGTTGACACCTGACATCTAGCGGACTGAGAGTCGTCTAGCACTCATACGTGGAGGGTCCAACAAACACGAGACTAAATACAGGATCTTCGTCATAGACCAGACAAGGAGGCAAGAAAAGAGAAAGGCGGGGGGGGGAGAGAGAGGAAGACGCAAGGAGCCCCAAAATACACTGGGATGCTGTTGAACTGGGGGATGACCAAAGACGAAGGAGCCGACGCGCAGCTCAAAGATCGGGGCATCGCGCTGCCGTTCGAGCGAAAGTTTAGAAGCGAAAGTGGCAAACTTCGCCTTCATTGATGGAAATGGCGGAATCCCGCTTGCGGGTGCGGCGGATGGTTGAATCTGCCACCTGCTGGCGCTTCTTTTCACATGCCTGGCACTCGGACTTGTGAGCGGCAGTAGTCATAGGAACATAGCCACGAGGAGAGCAATACGTGGGATGCTCTGCATGAAACTGTTTGTAGCCTTGATGAAGAACGTAGAGGTGGGGAAACAGACTGCCTTGTCCACCGTTCTTGCAAGCCTTGGCCTCGACACGCTTGAGATAATGGTAGAGCGCAGGACCGCGTTCCTTGGAAAACTCGCAGTGGACTAAGATGAGTGTTTGGGAAAGGTCACCGCGAGCCAGCAGGTATTCAGCCGCCATGTCTGGAAGATAAAAGTTGACGGCGCCGATCAAGTGACCGCCATCATACTCGTATGGATAGCGAGCATCTATGATGATGTAGTCACGAAATTTACGGCGGCCGTCGCCCCAGACTGTGTCAATGACTGTGTCGCCTGTGACTTGGTTGTGCTCCACTCGAACTGTGGGCAGGACATTCTGCTCGTCCATGACGATATGCAGGGGCGAGGAGGTGCGTTGTGCGCTGGCTGGGGTGGGCGACGGCCGGCGCAGTGTTCCAGAAGGGCGACGCTGGTTGCGGATAGGGTAGGTGCAGGACACTGGATGCGTAGGCGTTGGCAACGGAGATGAACAAGGAGTCGAATGAAAGCGGGTGGGGCTGTTGGAGGCGGAGGCCTGCCTGCTACAGGAAGCCGATAGTCTGGGGAAGAGAACCAAAGAGCCAGCCGCCATGGTGATTGGTCAGTGGCCGGATGATGCGAGAGCAGGGCGAGACGAGGAAAGAAGGAGAGATGAAGAGGAGGAAGAAGAAAAATGGCAGTGTGTAGTGCCAGAGCCGCAGCCAAGAGCAAAACACGAGGCGAGCCACTGAGCCGGGTGTTCACAATATCAGGGGGCTTTGACCATGTGTGTTTTAGGTGCGTTAAGGAAGAATGTGTGCAGGTGCAGGTTGATGAATGTGAATGTGTATGGAGACTGAATTTGGCGCCGAATGCAAGGTGTCATGTGGTTACCACATGCACCTGCAGTCGAAGCAGCCAAGGGGGCAAAAAAAAAAACTCAGCGGGGAAAAAAACGCGCTCAACCAAGGAGACAAGGAGACTCGGAAGAAGTGCTGACATCTGCATGTGTGTGTGCATGTGTGTTGAGAGACTCGGAACATTCGTCGAGACTGGCTGACATGTGAAACAAAACGTGACTCTGTGTGAAAGAAAAGGAAAAAGCCAGTGGTTCTGTGTGTTCAAAAAACAAGGCGAGGCAGGGGTGACTGACCGCTCGGAAAAGGTGCGCTTGGAGAACAGATCACCAACACTGCGCGAACGGCAAATCATCTTGGGAGGCTGTGGGCTCTCGACGGCAGATCCATTGCCCCGCTTGGCGGGTGAGGAGAGGTTCAAATCGTTAAAGTTCAGGGTGGGGCTGTCGGAGGGGCCTGGACGAGTAGCGAGGGCGCTCTGCGTGTAGCGGATGTTATCATGCAAGCTCAAGTTGTGGTCAAAGAGGGGTGAGCTTGGGCTGGAAGTGGCTATGCCCGAGTCACTAACGGGTGACTGGTTGAGCCTGGTGAGGCAAATGTTGTTTGCGGCATCCTCCTCGGCAGTGTTGGACGCGCCAGCAACGTCGGTGGTCAGATCTGGAGCAGAAAAGGCCATCCTGCGCCTGTTTTTTTTGTCAAGTCTTGTGTCTGCCAAGGATCAATCACCCAGCACACGGATAAGGGAACATGGAGAGCCCCGCCAGGACCACGCCACCGAGGGACGAAAGAGAAGCAGCAGAGGAAATGCTCAATGTGCTAGTGTCTTGTGTCTCGTGTTTTGGGTGCGCCTTTGGTGCGCACAGAAAGACACAAGAAAGGCCTGACCACAGGGTCAGAGACAAGAGATATGAATCGGCGGAAGAGCGTCACCGAGAGATGATGAAAATGCACACACACAGAGACAGACACACACAAAGGGCGGGGTTGCGATCTGATCTGATTTGCACCGAACCGAAACCGAAGCGAGCGATCAAATCAGATCAGATCCGACCCCAAAAAGGAGAGAGAGGAAAGTGAGAGGAAAGAGAGAGGAAAGCGAAAAGAAATCTGAGCAAACACCAAGAGCGAGTCACTCGCAGCCCAACATAAAAACGCGACTCTTTTGTCTCGAGCACAAAACCCGAGCCCATCCCCCAGTCCCACGCACGCGGAGCAAGGGGTGTGGCACTGGCACTTTACGTAGGAAGAAACAACACAAGGGAAAAATCACAATAGGAGCTTGGTCTACAGTAGATGACAACCCCACACTTCGCCACCCCGTGACATCAGCGCACCCATCCATAAGAACCAAAGTGTGTGTGAAACAGCGGTAGTTCAGTCTATGTGTTATGTATGGTGTGTTAGTGCGATGATGACGTGGGACCGCCAGACAAGACGCATTGGTCACACTCACAACAAAAAGTCTACCACACCGCCAAGCCACACTGGACAAAAGGAAGTCAAATTGGCAGAAAGAAGGAGCAGAGAAGCACACACACACACACACACACACACACACACACACACACACACACACACACACACACATTCAGTGATAGAAAGAGATGGCAATACAAGTCTTGACGATGAAGCCGCAGTCCAGAAAAAAAAAAAAAAAACTTGCAGCAGTAAGACTTGTTCCTCGTGCTGTGGTGAGAGTCCAGACAGTGTGTGCCATCTGGCTGGGTGTGGTTGTGCATAGGTTTTGGCTCATGGGTGTTGGCACCGTGGGCAGCGGAGGAAACAGTACCAACACCAGACAGATCATTTAGCCGCCGCCACACAGGAAAAAAACATACCGTGGGTGAAGAAGCAAGAAAGAAGCCAATTGGCGGCACCGGCAAGCTTTGTCTGTTGCACGAGCCAACCACCGATGAGCCATGGAGGACGGAGATGGACAAGGTGAGGAGGTGGCTTGCAGGTGAGGCGCACACCTACCCTCGAGACCCTTGGTGCAGCGCCAATAGTGAGGGGGGCCTGGTTTGAGCTGGCTTGGTTGAGATCTTGCTGTCGTTGTTGTTGTTGTTCCAGTGGCCTCAAAGGTGGCGCTATTGAGCAGTAATCCTCCGCTATAGGGAAGATAACCGGCACGTTGGGTTGGGCTTGGGCTCGGGGAAAACCAGAGAGGGGCTGATATCGAAGCGGCGGCGAGATGGTCTGCGAAGCCGATCGTCTTGGGGGAGTCAAACACGATCCAAAAGAAAGAAAAAGGGAAGGTGGATCTAGTCACTTCACTGTGGCTCTCGCTCGAGGAGTTGGCCAGTGGAGTTGGACTGCGACAGCGACGTGGTGGGGTGCGCCAGGGTGGGCAGAAGGAAAATACCGTTCCCTGGCTCCCGGGTGTTCACTCAGGAGGCCAAAGCACGGAGAATGGCGGGACTGCAACTCGTGCTGTCGAGAGACGAAGCAGGCCAAGGGCGCTCCTGTGTATTGATGAAAACCGTACAAAGGGGGGAGCCTTTTGACGTTGGGGCTGCGTTCCCGCAACACATGGGAGGGAGGAAGCCGAGTCGTGGTCGGGTTGTGGGTTGTGGTACGACTCGGTGTGATTGCTGGGCTTTTCAGAGCTCCCTTCCCCACACTCAACTTGTGTTTGTGAGTGACCCTCTCCTTTACGCTCCCTTAGTTTTTCCTCATGATCAGAGGAGGTTCATCACTGGGTGATCGACGTGCTGGGCACGAGGGAGACGAACGGACCGCGGCGTTTTTGCCGTCGCCGCTTCGTTGTTGTATTGATCTTCCCCCTCCTCCCGTGCACACAGCACTCGAAGCTCGAACCAGGCCTTTCTCTCTTTTTTTTTTTTCCCTTTTCACCATAGCATGTTCGTGCCGATCGCGCGCTCGCGCGTTCTCTCCTGACTCGGAGTGGGATGCTGCTGTGTTTGTAGTAAGGCGACTGGCTGTGAATGTGTGTGTGAGCCACCTCAAGGTCAAAGCACAACGCTGGGGAGGTGGCGAGGTTGCAGGGTGACGGCCTGTTGTTTCCCCCAACGCACGACCGTACGACTCGCTAGAAATCGCTGTGGCCTTTGGAGAGATTGTCTACTACGTCGGAAGGGGCCACCACCCAACAGCCAAGGGTGTGCAGAGGAGGGCACGGACTACCTCCTCCGGCACCCTTCTCGTGGTGTGCAGTGTGGCTTTCTTATTCTGGGGGTTTTCAAAGCTCGCCCGGCAAAGTGTGCTCAAGTGTGGCTGCGATGGCAGATGAATGATTTGGTGTGCGTCGTAGTTTCAAAGAGCGGACATGGGCTTTCAGCTCGTGGGCCTCCACGCTCGATCTTTGTCCATGCTAGCTTGCTGTGCGTCCAGCGATGGGGAATAAAAGCGCGGTGCGCTCGGTTTGGCTGGGACAATGTGCCGAGTCAGACCCATGTACACTGGGCCTAACAACCAAAACAGCCTTTGGTCGGCCATGATCTGCAGGTCTTGAGTGTGGTGCCGTTTTGGCAGCGTGCACCTCGTGTGGGCGTGTGCATCTGTGTGCGTCTGCGTGCGTCTGAGTGCATCTGTGCGCCTGGGCCAGACTGTGATATGCTGCGCCGTGATGAGATTCATATTCTTATGGGCACGAGGCACTCCGACACCTCGCCAGGAAAGTTGGGGCAAGTTTTCAGAACTGACCCCTGAACTCCCGGGTTTGGGGTCTTCAAATATTGGCCGTTTCTTGGGATGTGGGACGCGATCACCATGTCGATCTCCAATGGCAGCCGAGTGTCTGTCGCGTTCAGCGCCCGCCCGCATCCTCGAAGGTCTTGGAGCCAGCCCAACCTGGCAGTTATAGGTCGGGGGCAGGGCACACTGAGGTTTCTTGTTTGTTTTTCTCTTCCAATCCTTCCCAGAGACGTCATGGCACACCCTGAACTGATCAATGACATCAGAGAGAGTCTTTTTGGGGTGCAGCACACCCCCACGTTTCGCGACACGCGCTGGCATACTGGCGCTGGCGCTGGCAGGCAGATGGCGCTGAGGGGCAAGAGGGTTGCAAGCGTGCTCAATGTCATCCGAGACCAGTAGTCTTTTAAGGGACAACACACACACACACACACACACACACACACACACACACAAAAAGGAATCAGGTCCCATGGCTCAGTCTCAGTCCTAGTCTCCGAGGAGTCTGTGACACGCGCACGTCTGAAAGAAACGCTATGGAGTGAGACCTGCCGACTTGTGCCCTTGCCCGCGTGTGTGCGTGTTTCCTTGTACCGCAAGCAAGCACACGGCTTCGTGTCGTGGGGTCGAAGCGCTCCATGTCTTGCGACTCAGATGCAAGCGAAGACGAATTTTGCTTGTCTCAAACTGTCAAAACACACGTGCTGGCTTCCTCCAACCCTACCAAAGACAGCGTCAAAGGCCAGACGAGTCGGTCGAGGGCTCAGGGCAAGTCATCAGTCTGACTCCATCCCATGGTACGGGCTCCATTGACGCGCGTCCCACCGTCGCGCACAGCCATTCTTGCCCGTGTGAGAAAGCGGACTCAGGCGGAGGCGGAGGCGGAGGCGACAACGCAAGAGAATTTAGTAGCAACAGCACAGCACAGCAATACAGTGGGATACCCTCCAACTTTGAAATATTAAGGTAGAAAGTCTCATTCAACTTTGACTTTTTGAGCCAAATTGCATTTTTCCCTTAGCAAGGGCAACTTGCAAAGTGACCGTTACAAAATGCCGCCGATCCGGCGAAAAAATGGTGTACGCACCTATGCCTCGCACTCAATGCTTGAACAGCTGCAATGGGCGCAAGCAATGGAAGACGGACATCAGACAGCCGCTGCCGTTACGAGTGAGGCGAACGTTTGACTGGCAACTGGCAGCTTGCCCTCGCTATTTCGACCCAGGTGATGCTGCGCACTCAACAGGGTCGCGGCCATTTTATGGAGGTGCAAAGAGACCCCGCTTTCAAACTGGGGGCAGATTGTAGCTATGATGGCACTCTGGATGTCGCAAGTATTGTCGACAGGATGGCCCTTGTCAGCTTCCCCCACTTGCGTTGCGATGGGTCAGAATTTAATGACCTTCAAATGCCACCGACAGGCCAGGCAGACTGGTACAGACAGCGTGGCTCGATTTCAGATTGCAGTTGAGGGCACAGAAGAGGGCAGCGGTTGCCATGATCCAGCTCGCTCTTGCCGATGACGAAGCTGATGCGACTCGAGAAGAGGCGGAAGCGGAGATGAGAGAGATTCGGCTGTACTGACCTCAATTGAGACACTGACGGTCCGCCTCAGCCAACTGTAGCAACTTGCAAGTGTGGCACCAGAAAAGCTAACCGATGGCTATGATGACTGGCACCGCTTCCATCGAACGTGCAAAAGACAAAAGACCCATGCAAGGCCGGCAAACATACATCCAAGACCATCTCCGTCATGCATACACATAGAACCTGTGTAGTGCTTAACTTTGAAAGTTGACGCCAAAACCCCCGTTCAAAGTTAGGGGGTACCCCAACAGGCACGAAATCCAGTACACGAAACCAGTGAAATTTACTCCGATCCTATTTTGACGAATGCAGTGAGATCTTCAGATTGCGTCGAGCGCTACAGTAGTTTCTCGACGAACGCGCTCGACGGGCCTCCAGACTGCCAACCCTTGCTGACCCTGAACTCACTCGCTCGCTCGCTCGCTCGCTACCTCGCGATTTACCATTAAACGTCCAATCATGGCGCAAGCAAAGGGTATGAGTGACGACGCCATCCTCGATGCCATCTTCGACCCAGAGATGCCGCAGCTGCCCGGCGCGCAGCCACCCAAGGACAACACGGCGACTGCGGATCAGGAGCAGGACCCCGTCAGCGAGGCCGAACTTGAGCTGCGCCAGCTGGTATGATAATGTGCTCTGGACACGTTCACGCTTGCCCTGTGTCTCTGGCATTTGAGCATCACTCACACGCGCTCTCCTGCTGGCCCTACGCATGCCAACTCGGATAGGAGACGGAGGCAGCCAAGCTGGCCGAAGGCGGTCAACTGGACGAGGCCCTGCAAAAGTTTGAACTTGTCCTGGCCAAGGACCCCAAGCGTGCTAGTGCCTACAACAACCGCGCCCAGCTATATCAGATGAAGCATGACACCGAGGCAGCTTGGAAAGATTTGGACATGGCCATCAATCACTGCCCCCTCCCCCGCGAAGTGGCCAGCCAAGCCTATGCGCAACGCGGCGTTCTGAATCGCGTGCGCGGGAACGACGACGCCGCTCGCGCTGATTTTGAAAAGGCAGCCGGGTTTGGCAACCAGTGGGCCCGCCGCATGGCCGTCAAACTTAACCCCTACGCCGCCCTCTGCAACCAGATGCTGACGCAGGCCATGAAGGAGCTGCGTGGCGAGGCCCCGGCCTCGGCCTGCACACCGGCCCAGAATCAGTCCCAGTAGGCCAAACCGGTCTAAACGCTCTTGTCAAACTCATGCTCGACGGCCGCTTCGTCGGCCCTGACGTCTCGAGGCGTGGAACGAGCGTGTGCAGCGCACACGTCTCTGTGGGATTTGAGCTTGGTCTCTCGAGAGCCCGCAGACACCCTCGTTCCGCTTCCCCCCTCCGTTTCTGTCCGTCTGTGTGCCTCTTTTACTTTTTTTGTCGCTTTTTTCCTTGTGGGAGTGGGTTTTTTTTATATCCTAGCCGGCTGCTGCTTTGGGCGCGAAGTCACCTGGTTTGACGGTCTTCAATTCATCAAGCGTCGCCACCTCTGCTTTGAGATGACAACACCTGGGCCGGTGCGGGAACGGCTCAGCTGCCCCATCAACCCATTCACCGCAAGTCTGACAGAACTTGCCTCGGATATTATTGACCCAAACTCCACCCTTAAGGTTTTTTCTTGCGCGTTTTCTTCTTCTATTCATTGCAGGCACCCAAAACAATCAGTCGGCACAGACCAGGGACCGTCGAAAAAACCAAGCACGGATGCCAAACGAGGTGGCAGATGCCAGCCCATGTCCCGAAACGCACCGGTTTTGTGGCCTTGGTAGCTTTTGATCCCTGGGGCTTGGCAGCTGCAATGGCCTCGCTGTCCACCACGCCATTCTCATTCAAGACCTCCTCCTCCAGCACTCCCTGCATTGCACCGCGCACCCCAACCAACCAAGATTCATAGTCACTGCACGCGTCTCCATCCAGAATGGGAGGTGGTTGGCAGGTGAAAGAAGAGCACACCTCGAGCACGGTTTCTGTATCCATGACGCTGTAGATGTTGGATGGGCGCAGCAATTGATTGTAAACGCCCGTCACCACGGCCTGTGCTTCATTCTTCTCTGTTGCATTTGTCATCTCCACCTGCACGCCCGTTCATGAGGGCGCGGCGAGAAGCTCCGCGGACGCAAATCGAGCCGCCATGGCTGTATCGACGTGTGTTCGCCCCAGCTCCCTTCCCCCCATGGGCAGTTGCCGATATCGCTCACACACAGCAAAAACCCTATCCCACAGCGCACATACCACGAGGTAGCTCATGCAGTTGACAACATCACCCTCAAAAACATAGCCTAGATGCCAACCAAGCACGGGTTGAGAAGGAGTAGACTGGCCAAGACGTGCAAGGGCCACTTGGATGCAGACATGCGCACAAACCTTTGAGATCCAGCTTGATGGGGTTTTCAGCTGCCGCCGGTTCGACCGTCACTGCGCCACAACGTGTGATGAGCTGCCGCAGCACGCTTGGCTTTTTATCTTGCAACAGCACAACACAATACAACACACCCACACACACACACACACACAACACAACACAACACAACTCCAACATATTTCGGGTGTGTCTGTGCTTTTTGCCTGTCGACGACCTACATCGGCCCACCGTGCCCACGTCACCCAGCAAGCTCATCTAAAGACCCGGCGCAGCAAGATGAGACGTAGCGCGCAGACAGGTCAATTGCTCAAACCCCAGGGCCATGCTTTGCTGTCATCGAATTACCTTTTCCTCGACCTCCATCAGAAAACAGGGTCGCTTCGTCCGGCTGAGTACCAGAGGCAAGCGGGTCGCCACGGTGCGCTTGCCGTTGGCTGGACCTCCAGCCGACGCCGATGCGGCGGTCGGGGGCGGCGACGATGTCGTGGACTCCCCCACCCCCACCAACGGTGAGTTGACCGATTCCCCATCTTCTCGCGCCATCACCACATCATCCTCTGTCCCTGCCATCCTCGATCGCAACCACCACTCTCCTTCCCACCACAGGAAGACCAAAACTGTGCGTCTCGGAGATGCTCGAAATCAACCCAGCACCTCCCCCCCAAAAAAGCGCTTTATCCTTTCAGCATGTAACGGCTAGTTTGTATTGAACATCAAAATCAAAATAACAGGAACGTGATGCTCTCTCTAATGTATAAAAGGCAAACAGAAAGAGATCCACAGAGAGAGAGAGAGAGAGAGAGAGAGAGAGAGAGAGAGAGAGAGCGAATGAATTGGTTTGGTCGAGAGAAATAAAGAGCAAAAACACAAAGGAAGAGAGAGAGAGAGAAAATGAAGAGACAGAGAGTGAGAAGCACAACAACATTCTTCTTTCTTTTGGAAGAGGGGCAACAGAACCGGACGAAAATTTAATGATGGCCGCGACGCGATGGTGTTGGGCCCTGGTGGTGGCGGTACTGCTGGTGGCTACGGCTCGAGGTAAACCAACCGTCTGGGTGCGAGATCTTGTTGAACCATGTATAAAGAATGGCCAAGACTGATGACACTGGTGGTGTGCTGGCCACAGGCGAGGCCTCGGACGCGAAGATTGCCAAGGCTCGCATTGAGGTACGTCCCTGGGAATGTAGAAACAGCTCTGAAATCAAAGCACAACAATGATCGCGCGCGCGGTGTCAATTCATGGCCCGCCTGCCTCTCTACCTGCCTGCTTTGGTTTGTGTAGAGCTGCTCTGGCTGACGTTTGAACAAGCTTCCCGAGGCACGCCACTTTGTCAAAACTGTTGCTCCTTTGTACAAGGTGAGGCATGGCTTTGGCTCGATCGCGCGACGCCGCCAAGCGCACCTGCCAACTCATCGCTGCCACCTTATTGTGCTCGCCCCAAGGACGTTGAAGTCAAGTACATTCCCGGACGCAGCCCCAAGATCATGTTCTTCACGGCCGAGGACGTCAAGGTCGAGGTACGTCGGATCGCACGCTGCTCCTTGGGTCGGACCTTGGAACCACGTCGCTTTCCTTGACCGATCGAACCGTGGCCAGACGGTTGATCTCGCGCCCTTGCAGCGTGATGAGGCCGAAAAGCTGCTGACGGACCGCGGCTTTTTGCGGCTCGCGGTGAGTTCCAGCTCTGCACGGCCCGCGCCAAGCCCCAGCGTGCCTGCCCTTTGCCGCCACCGGAGCTCACTTTTTTTTTTTTTTTTTTTGGCATTTCACTATCCTTACTGCGCCCCATCTTCCAGCCGCCTGATGCAGACGCCCACGCCGAACTCTAGTGGCCCAACTCAAGAGCCGTGGGCCCAAGTCCAGAATAGCCTGGGAGGCATAAGTGTAGGAGTCGGATGTACCGATGGACAACCTGGTGACTTGAAGCTCGGAAACGCTATCGCGCGAGCTTTGACGATTTTTCTTCTTGATGCCAAGCACGGCCCCGTTGATTGTGCTACATGACAGCAACGTTTCGTTGCTGCTAGGCCAATCTTCGTGACCTCGCATTACGTGAGGTATGCTGAATTGCCCACTGACCTCGAGTGCATTGGCGTGCCTACCGAGTGTTCAGCCTAGAGTGCTCCCGTGCCTCTTTTTCCCCGGACAGAGGAAAATGAGCTGGGAAGCGTGGGGCCAAACAGCATGGTCGTACTATCAAGATTGTTTTCCATCGACCGCCACGATGCCGCTTTTTTCCCTCCCATGCTCCTAGATTCAATTCAAGCAGTTGGTCTACCTCTCGCATGCTAGCCTCCGTTCCAGCGGACCAAGAAAAGCCAAGATAGACAGCAAACAAAAAGGCATCTGAGCAACGTGCCTGGCTCTGCTCCCACAGTGTGTTTTGCATCCATATCCGTTTTTATGTCGTTGAGACAGACAGAACATGGGCCCGGCAAAGATGAAAGGAAACACAAAAGAAGAAACAACCCCGAGGGGGAAAAAGTGTTGAAATGCTAGCCCTGTGTCAATCATGAGTTTGAATTGGAGTTGGTTGACAAGCCAAACAGAGCGCGTTGGCCGGTCCCGGACACAGCCCGTAGGCCTCACATCGAGTGCAACGACCACCACGGCAAAGCGCACGAGATGATTCAAAGCGCGTTACCCACGCGTGGTGGGCCGCGGTAGAGCCCAACTCGGTCGTGAGACGCACCAAATAACGGGCTACCGTAGATTGCGCCGGCCAGCCAGGAGGCATAAAAGTGGCACCAAGGTCCCATGCCTGGGACAGCAGCTGTACAGCCGTCGCACGTTCCGAAGGCGTACCCCGTGCTAAAATCTGTCCTAGTCGAAGTGCCAGTTGGTAACGGACACACTGTGCGCCCGGCGACGCTGGACCCTCAGCTGCCTTGGCGTGCAGGGCACTGAGCAAGCGCACCTGGAGCTCTGCTGGTGCTTCGAGCGCTCGCCCGAGTTGCTCGAGCGAGACCCCATTCGCGTGAGCAGCAACCTCGAGCTTTGGCTTAGATCCCGGCAGGGATTGCTCCGAATCAAGCGCCGCTTCTTCTGTGCAGCGAATACAGGTACAGGCAAACCCATATCCGGTGCGCAGCGCCTCCTGGCGCACAGGCCAAGGGTCACCCAGCTCGACATAGCTGATAGTGATAGGCTCGCCCCGGGCGATATCAGACACACTGCGTATGATCATAGTGCCACCCTCTGGGGGCAGATCGGCACCCGACTCGCGCGGCTTCATGGGGGCAGACGCGTCCAAATAATGTGTGGCGTTGGGACGACAGCTGTGGTTGATGGCCGCCGCCTGGGGCCAAAGACCAAGCACGTCAAACCCGGGTTGTCGTTCATGATCTGTGAGAAAACAGTTGTACATGCAAATGGCTACCAGGCGTTGAAGCTCGCCCGAGGATTGCACGGGAGGCTGCGCCTTGAGCTTGGCGCGCATGTAACGTAGCGACAACTCGAGGTCGGCCTGATGCAGCGTGCGGATGGGGTCCGAGGCGTTGAACTCGTGTTGGCGCGGCTGGAGTTGGCGCCATGCCTGGTCCGCTAGTTCTGGTGCCGCCTGTAGCAGTCGGATGGCCACATCGGCATTGGCGCAGATGGGAACTTTGCTGCATTGTGAAACACGCGCGTACCAGCGTATGAATGAACTCGTCTTGAGCACCAAAAAGCACGCATGTCGCCGACGCATCCGACTTACTCATCATAATAGCCCGTTGGCCGCGCGAGGCACCCAGCACTCGGCTCACGCAGGATCAGAGTGCCTGCAGGTATATCCCGGCGCGCAAACAACCCCATTCCTCCATACGCATCAGCGCGACGCTCTGCCCAAGCCCCGACGGGCTGACCTGGACCCGCCATCACATGCGCGACAAGAAAATTCACACAACTTGACGTTGTTGTCACACAAAATCCGACTCATTCAAAACGTTGCCATATATATGCTAAACCTCACTCCAACCTCACAAGCGATGATTCGTTGGTTCAGTGGTAGAATTGCCGCCTGCCACGCGGTAGACCCGGGTTCGATTCCCGGACGAATCACATTAATATTTTTGTATTTTACTTTTTTGTGTGTACATTGTCAGATATTTGACGTCAGAGCGGGCTGTTTCCAAGGGTGATGTACTTGGCGTATGTGTATTGCGAGTTTGTGTTGATATGGTGCAGCGGCTTGCGATGGTTGATGCAGTCGAATGGAGCTTTAATGCGGGTGTTGTTAATGAGCTGCTTGCTTTTTTTTTTTGGCTTGGTCGGTGCAGCTCGACCACGACTTGACCGGCGATGATGGGGGGGGGGCCTGTGCCGTGCTAGGGCACGCTGCTCCTCTGAGTCCCTTTTTTTTTTCTTGACAAGTTGTGGAACTCTCATGGTCTGACTGGATGGGTGGTCTTTGCAGGGGCAGGAAGCTGCTGCAGTGGAGAGGATAGCCCACACATACACACGCAGCCGACGCACACAAACACGACACGACACGCGTCATCGTCCATCATGCCCGTGGTCATCAAGGACTTCAATTGGACACAAACCGACGACGAGGTGAGGCGACGAGAGCAAGGGGGGCTGGCCAGGCCACCGAGCCGGCGAGTGGCACAGGAGTGACCGGTGCACACCACCCTGAGGGGAAGGCGGAGGGGGCACAAGCGTGGGTGAGGGAACTCACCTCGCCAAAATCTCAACCCACAATCAGGTTCATCTGGAAGTGCCGCTCAAGGGCGTCCACCCGAAAAAGGCCGATGTTTACACCAACGACGTCTTCGTCAAGGTTTGGCCACCAACGCAGGCGGCGCTTGTCATCTTCCCCTTTGCATTGGACAGACTCACTCTTGAACATGGGTGCTAGGTCAATGCTCCCCCCTTTCTTTTTGAGGTCGACCTCTTTGCCGCCATTGATGATGGGGCGAGCAAGGCCGTAATTGGCAATGGCGTTGCAGTCTTCACCCTTGTGAAGCGCGAGCCCGCCACTTGGCCCACCTTGCACCTTCCCGCGTACGTTGCTCAATCCCGAGCACATCTGCCCGCGGCCCAAGGGTGGCGCAATACGCCCCCTCTCTCCCTTCTCTTTGCCCCTGCACCACTCATCGACACCACCCGCTCCTGTGAACACGCTTTTGTAGTGAACGAGCGGAGCTGCTTCAAAGGCGCGCCAAGGCTCAGGCTCGCGCCGAGGCACAAATGACAGCTGCTGCGGAAACACGTGCCCTTGAACAACATGAAAAGGAACGCGCAGCTGTGCGACGCCAGATGGAGGTGTGATCCACCCCCCTGTCCGCCACAACCCACGTTGGAGATCCCGCCTCAACCGTCTAAAGCAACCACCTGCATTCATCGCGAAACAATATCTGAACCGACTCGCTATGATCCTGGATGCCGTACGAGCCTAGATTGAAGAAGCGGAACGCAATGCCATCGAGACAGAAAAACAGCGACAGCGCGATGAAGGCACGCTTAGCTGCCCCTGGTACCTCGCTTGTTGGCTAAACCAGTTGTTGCCGCCTGACCTCGTAGCCCTGACCTTGCCCTTCTCTGATTTACACGTACAATGAGCAGCGGATGCACAGGCCCGGGCGATAACCCAGAACGACGCGGCGCAGCGTCATGGTCTGAGTGGCGCCACGGCCAGTGCAAATCGCCCACCCGTGCGAACTGCGGGCACCATCAAGGTACAGCCGGCATGTCGATCAACGCTCCACCCCGCCTCAAGCTCACGGCCTCGGGCGCATCGTTTTTGCCGACGAGCAGTTTACCTTTTCCAAGCGCGAGTTTACGACACCGCAGCGCGAATCGTACCGGCAGCAGGAAGAAGAGGTAACAAGCGCCAACGGCTGTGTTTCCACACTCGCCCCAGCTCATGTCGCTTGTTCGCGGCCTGAACCCCAGTGGCTCGAAAAACAAGCTGCGGCCCGCAAGGCCGTGGAGGCGGCCAAGGCCAGCAAGCCCGGTGATGTGGAGCATGATCCGCTGTGGTACCGAGACAAGGGCCGGTACGTTTCGAATCTTGTCTGGTCCTGCCTGGGCGACCAATTGGGCCGACCGTTGTCGCAGGGGCAACTCAACTTCCTTGCGACCCGTGAACAATTGGCCTGCGGCCATGCCCGACAGTCAATTTTTCCAGAATGAGGATTATCAAAGCGCCATCAATGCCTACACCGCTGGCTGTACGTCTCTGCGTGAACCGGGCTGACCCTGATCTGACCTTGGCGACACACCTCAAATCCGTCAGCTCCTCAGCCCCTCTCTCACAATTTGGGGATGCGTGTGGGGCATGGGTCCTCTGCAGTGACGCTGGACCCGAGCAACGCAAGCCTCTACTCACTGCGAGCCGCTGCTCATCTCAAGTGCACCGATCCGCAAGCCGGTGCCATTGATGCGGGCAAGGCCTTATCGCTTCTGCAGCCGCCCTGTCCTAGCAATGCCAAAGATCGTCTCCGCGCCCATCTTCGCCGAGCTGTTGCTTTGGAAATGATTGAGGACCTTGATGCCGGTACGCTCGCCCGTTCATGGACCCGTCGACTGCTCCTGAGCCAAACTCTTTCGACCTCACCCCCTGGTGTGTTTCTCGGTGCGCACCAGCCCTGCATGACTACCGTCAAGCCGTTGCCATTGCCCCACACGATGCGGATCTTCAAGCAGAATGTGCTCGCGTTCAGCAGCAACTAGAGGCCTTGCGACTGTCTCAGCAGTAAAGTTGCACAAATACAGCTGTTTAATCGACTCAGATACAACCTTTGCTTTCCCCGCATCACCAGCACCACTCAGAGTGCCACACTTGAATCACCACAGAAAGCGCGCGTGCATACGCTTTGGACAATAACCGAGAGCCAGAGTCGAAAGGCAAGAGGCGGGGGATTCTTATGGGAAGTTGCCCTGTACATGTATTTTCTTTTGACTTTTTCTTTTTTTTTTTTTTTTTTTTTTTTTTTCACGTTTCAAGGAGTTGCAGTGCCATGTGGCTGTGGGTGCTGGAGTTGGCAGTGGTGGGCTGGAATAGCCTTACTGTGAAGCGCACAGCAACAGAGGACGACAAATCCGCGAGCTGGCATGTGCTTCCTCCAGCGCAGGGGCGGGCCGTGGTGATACTCGTTGATAATGGATCATTGCGTGCCGCGTCATTTCGCAGTCTCATGCGGTCCGCCCACCTGCTGGCTCAGCGGCTCGACCCGCGCGAGGTGGCCACTGTGGTACCAGCTAGCCTGCGCTTCAGTGATCGCATCAAACCCAGCGCACTGAATGGCGCTCGAGGCGAGGTTTTGACCCATGCTGTGCAGCGCGCCCTTGATGCGGGATACCAAACGATTGTCATCACCCCCTTCTTCATTGCACCCAGCGACCAGCTGCGAGGCACCATTCCAACTATGCTCCAGCCCCTCATAAGGTCCCGTGAGGAGCCAGATACCGCGCCACCTCGCGTCGTGGTCGCTCGGGCCCTGGTGGATCCCGAAGACGGCCAGAATGACCAGCGGATCGCCCGCGCCCTGTGCGATAATGTGCTGGCCACTTTGGACGAGCACGACTGGCGTCAGCGGCCCTGCACCGTGGCTGTGGTAGACCATGGCTCCCCTACACCCGCCGTAACCCATGTCCGCAACCTTTTGGGCACGTGGGTTCGCGATCAGCTTCATCAGCACATGGCCCAGGCACCTGCGGTCGTTGCCTGCTCCATGGAACGGCGGCCCGATCCAGAATACGATTTCAATGAGCCCTTGCTTGAGTCGCTACCACAACGGGGTCTACTTCCGCCTGGTCACGCACTCGTGGTAGCATATGCCTTCCTCTCACCGGGTCGACATGCCGGAAAGGGTGGGGATATTGACCAGATCATCAAGGCCATGCTGATGGGGCCAGAAGCTGCCTCTTTGAACTCAGCCCCTGCCGTCTTCAAAACAAATCTCCTGGGACAACACCCCATCGTGATTGACATCTTACGCGATCGCTGCCTTAATATCCTGCACCGCCAAGACTGTTTACTGGAGTTGTAGAGTTCAGGACCTGCAAACCCAATCCTTGACTCTCAACCTTGATGGTGCCATCGATTTTTAAAGAACATCCAGATCTCCAAACGAAATTCCGACCTGACTGAAGGTTCCCAACAACAATCACGCGTTGACCAGGCTGGCTCGCACTTCGATGCACACGGGCACGTCAGGCTCCGCAACTGGAGGATTGGCTGACTTTTGGTCGTCAGCGTCTGTGCCTTTATCTTTGTCCTTCTCCCTCTCTTTCGAAGCCTTGGACGTGCTGCGTGGTGTTGCTCGTACCGGTGCTGGCGACCTAGAAACCATCCATCATCCGGCACTGACGTGAGAACAGCCTCGCGCTCGCGTTCAAGTCACAGCAAGACACAATTGTGCAACAACGACACTCGCTAGACTAACTTTCCGCCTAGCTTGCCCCCTTTGCCTTTGGCCTTGGAAGCTTGTGCTTGCGCTGCAGCCAGGGCGGCGGCTGCTTCATCTTCAGCGGCTGTTGATCAGCCAAACCCATGCAAGCATGAACCAGTGAATGAGCATGAGCATGCACCAAGTCGGGCCATGTGCCGGCCCCATGTCTACAGACGGGGAGCGCCAACAGACCGTAAGCAGCCGCTGTGCGGCCCATCAGAGGCTGCGGCTCGGGATATGCCCGAGGCCCCAAGAGGAGATGCACTGGTCGGTCAGACATGGCCTCAGCCAGTGGTGCAGCCGCATAGCATGCCAGTTCTGGTGCTTGATAATCGCTAGCCAGGCCTTGTCCAAGCTCCCACAAGTCCAGGTGGGCAAGCCCAAGTGTCTCTAATTGAATGGCCTATAACAAAAAGAACAATGGTGGCAAAGTACATCAGCCGTTGAATGATCCAAACAAACTGCCTACAGTCCTGTCCCCAGCTCGTGACGCTACAGACGCCCAAATGCCCAACGGCTCGCTCAACCTCGTACCGCTTGTACCGTTTGGCTTTCATCCTCGGCAGCTGAATAAGTGACGGTGGCTTGCAGAATCCACACGGCTGCACCGTCTTGCAGCCAAGTCTGCAGGCTTTTGAGGGATGATGGTACGAGGGTGTGTTGCACCACCGGGTCTGCTGCGCTGAGAGATGCCCAGGTTTGCAAGCCAGAATGCAATGGCTTGCCTTGTCCAAAGATACCAACGTTCCACTGGCCCAGGGCCTCGTCAAGCGCAGACTGCCGCGCCTCCGCGACGCGCAGCGCCACGGCAGAGGCGGGCTTTGCCTTGCTTTTATCTCGTTTGTCGTTGGGACGGTCAGGCCGACCCGATGGCGGAGCAGGCGTGCCCGGATCGGCCAGACGCGTCCAGTCCTCCGGCACACGTGTCACCAGAAGAAAGTGGCGCGAAGGAGCCATATCGTCCTCCTGAAATGGGCCCGCAATGAAGGGGGAGAGAGGCGAGGTACAGGCTTGAGCATTTGCCGATCATCTGTGTGTGGCTCTGGCACACAGTCATGCACGATACAAGAATACCTGATTCGGATCGGCGTCCAGCGGTGGCAGGCGACGCAGATGCTGCGAGAAATGGAGCAATGAGCCGTGAATGACAAGCAGGAACGGCAGCCAGAACGAAGAGGAGCGTCAACAAAAGAGTCGACGAAGCAATCAGAGGCCAGCCAAGGTGCATCAAAAATTAAGGCCGACGAGGTTTCATGCTAACCTGTATTTTGCAGAGGTGAAGCGATACGCGCGGGGGGTCGGACACGTCGACAATGGGGTTTGTGGCGCGCCAAGTAATGTCCTTGCGAGTCAGTGGTATGTCATCAATTGTGCGAGTAGCGGGGCCCGTGTGCGCCAAGAGCCAGGGACGGTAACTGTGGACATTCGTTCAGACGGGATCCAGCAATCACAGCCGAGAGCCTGTGAGTCACCGTTTGTCCACTGCTTCATCGTTTTAAACAAGCCATGCGTACTTGGAGTGAAGGGCCAGGCTTGTGCCCAAAGCTTGAAAGTTGGAGAGAGCCGATAGTTCACTCAAAACCTGTCGAGCCCCGCACACCCCTCTTACACATGTGAGCTAAGCACACGTGGGGACTGGCAGGGTGGACTTTGAGCACGAGGGGACAGCGAGCAGGGCACAACGCACCGCTTGGAGTTCTGCCCAGTCACTGATGTCCGTGTATGAGAGATCCAGCGACCATAGATTTTGTGCAAAAGGCGCGGTGCTAAGCGGGTGCGTCGTGGAAATCTTCAAGCGATTCAAAGTTGTGAGACACGATTAATCGACGAGAAAAGACCTGCAGATCTTGCGCCCACAACAAGACGGGAAAAAAACACGCACCGGGTTGGCGGCAAGACCTAGGTGTCGCAGGTTCGGGGGGCCGTTGTGTGCCAAGCCGGCGACACTGTCAATCTTGTTGGCACCCAGGTGCAGGATTTGCAGATTGGATGGAAGTTGATCACCAGCCACGGTTGTGATGCGGTTGCCTGTCAGATCTAGCTGTTCAAGTGCAACGAGCTCGGCCACGGACGAAGGCACGGCGTTGAGCTTGGGAGAAGAAGATGGGTGCGCACAGGCAGGTGCAAGATAAGTGGGGTGAGCGATGGCGTGATAATCGAGTCGGGGTGGGGGTCGGGGTCGGGGTCGGGACCGAGACTTACTCCCGTCTCCGCAAGACAGAGATGACGGAGCATGGCAAAGACGTCGAGACGAGTCAACGGCTGATTCTGGCAGGCTGCCACAATACTTGATGTCTGGTCAGAAATGCTACTGAGGCCATCCTGTTCATCCCCGGGAAGGGCTGACAAGACATCTGTCGTGACGCTTTGGGCTTCCGCATCGTCGTCCACCCCAGCACCTGCACCCATGCGCCTTGACTTGCGCAGCTCGCGCTGTGTCTTATCTAGACGTGCTGCGATGCGGCGGTGACGTCGGTTGGCCTCTTCTTGCGTGGCACAGCTCAAGGGATCGCCGGCGAGTCGCAATGTCCGCAGCCATCGTTCAACTGGATCCATGTCCTCTGCCATGCCAGCGGTGAAGACCGTGCACACGCAGACGAATCGTGCTCGAGTCAGGGCAGAAAGCCCAGACTCTGGCTCCTCCCGCCACGCCACAGGTTGTATACCCTCTTGCTGTTTTTCAAGACAGACCCGTCCCCCTACAGACCGGGCAGCACCCAGTGGAACAGGCAACCGCCGCAAGCGATCTCGCACATCGACACACGCACACACACACACACACTCGCGCTCTCTCGCTCGCTCTCTCTCTCTCTCAGACACACGAAAAGCGTTTGGTCGTCAGGGCCCTGTATGGAAGTCTGATAAATATCACGCTATCGCATCCGACTTCATTCGAGGCTAAATGCTGACATCTGACATCGTGCGTGTGTGCTGTGTGTGTGTGTGTGTGTGTGCTGAAGCAGTTTGAGAGGCGCCGCGTGACGAGAGAGCGACGGCGGCGGGGAGGAGATAGCGTGTCTGGTGCTTGTGGTGCTGGTGGTGCTTGTGGTGCTTGTGGTGCTTGTGGGATTGTGGACCTGACCTTGTCAAGATGGGGCGTGTGGCGCGATACAAGCGCATCAAGGCGATCGACCCGTTTGCCAAGAAGGTGACGCAGCCGCGCAAGAAGGGTGGTCTTTTGCCCGGTCAAGCCCCGAGCAAGCATAAAAAACGCAACAAGTCCCATGGTTGGTCGAGTGCCCCCGCCCGCATGCATTGGGTCGAGTGCAGAGGCCTGAGTATTCGGCAGCTTTTTGTTAGACTCTTGTTCTCAGGTTGCCCGATCCTGATTGCCTTGCTTTGCTTGTCCATGCAGGCAGCGACACGTTTACCGTCGATGACGTAATGGACCGAGATGGTGATACAGGCGAGAGTATGGGCAACAAGGCTACAGGTGTTACCAAAAGCATGCATCTCAAGGATGCGCTGCGCCACGTTCAACGCGGCAAACGCGAGCGCCTTGGTGATTTTTACAAGTACGCCCCATCCTTCTTTGTTTCTTCTACACGCACCGTCGTATCGGCAGCCGGCGGCCGCCCTTGTGTCTGTGCTCTCACTTGGCCCTCGAATTCCTCTATCGATTCCATGCCGTTCTTCTGGCTTGCTCCTTTTCGTGGGCGCCTCGGCTCGTTCTGGTTTGACACAGACGCGTCGATGCTGCGGCGAGCGGTGTCATTGCCCAGGGTGCTCGGCAAGGTGAGTTTTGGCCAGCTTGTCCGTATGCCATGCCAACCGCAGCTTCGTGACCTCCGCCCCTGCTCAATGACCTATAGCCACCAAGACTGCGGAGCGTAGCCGTGACCATCTGAAGGAACGCAAACAGAAGCGTCAGCCCAGGAGTGCGGGTGGAATGGCCGACGAGGACGTCGACGATGAATTGCGCTGTGCGTACCCGGTTGCTTGCCTACCCCTTTCATCCTCGTCGACTTTCTTGGTGCTTTGAGCTGGTTGCACTTGCCTCTGCCGCGAATCTTGCTGTGCCGACGTGCTGTCGTTTGATTTGATTTGCTTGGTGTGTCTAGTGTACGGTAAGGAAAAGATTGCCTTTGGGGAGGTAGCCGATGCACCACCCGTGCTGACGGCTGTGCCGCGCAAGGCCAAGAAGCTCGCGCCCAAGGTTGGTCTCGTTGCTTGCTCTTGGCGCCGGCCGGCGCCGGCGCGTGCCGTGGTCCAGCTGCAGATAACGCCTCGTTCTTTCTTTTCGTTCGGCTTTCCTTGGCTGTTCTGTTGTGGTGGTTGATATTTTGACTGGTCGCCTATTTGGAGGGTGCTGCCTTGAATGGGTTAAAAAGTGCGCACTATCCCGGTATGATGTGCGCAGCTGATGCTTGTTTTTTTGCGGTGCATAGGCGCAGCGACAGACTGCGTCGTTGTTGCTAGCACAGAAGACGACAGACCAGCGCAAAGGTTTGTGGTTGCGCATCAGTCTCCGTCGTCTGCGATCGTTGTGACTCTTGTTGCGCAGCGTGTGTCCGGTCTGTTTGCTAATTGTGGCTGCGCCGTGGTGCCATGCAGCTTCCAAGGTCGCGCCTGTGCGACAGCAAGCCCTTGATCAAGAGCGAGAGCGTGCAATCAAGGCGTATCGCATGCTGAAGCGAAATCGCGACACTCACGCTTTCGGCTGAGCCAACTGCGCCTGTGTCTTTGTGTGTGTGTGTGTGCGCGCGCGCGCGCGTGCGTCTATGGTAGGGTGTTCTTTGGCTGTGTTGGCCCTCGTGCAATTGAAATATAGGATCAATAATGCCTCTTTCCTCTTCGTTCGCATACTTGAGGGGCCCTTGAACCAGCTGAAGCAGCGTCGCGGAAAATGGCTTCTTCCTTTTCTTCTCATTACTTCTCTTGATTATTTTTTGAATTTGAACAGTGTCTCGAGACACACTCGCATGTTGCTAGTATTCTGTTTCTGAGTGAGTGGGGCATGGCTCGGGTCTGACCTCAAATCAAGACAAATCTCATGTACATGAGTAGATTTGTCTCAGCCTCGCAAACTCACATGTCAGTCACAAATCGCCAAGATTCAAACATAGCAAAGCGGCTTCTGTGCGAGCGGGTCTCTGAAATATGATCCAGCTTGACGACGTTGCCGCTCTCGCGATTGTGGAGATAAGGCACTCTCTCTCAAAGATTAAGAGCACAGCAGTTCGTCTTTGTATGTCGTCTATTCGTAGAATAGATTTGTCTCAGCCTCACAAACTCAGTCACAAATCACCAGTCACATTTACAAATCTATTCGTCGTCGCGCCGATAACGATTGACTTGCGCATTCAGCGTGTCAAGCGCAGTCCGTACCACAAAGACGTCATCACTGTACCCTACAAAAGGAATGGAATCAGGGATCACATCCCAAGGCGAAACCACATAAACGAGAGCTGCTGACGCCAGCAGAGCTTGAGCCTTCGAAACGCCAGCGTTTGGATCTCGAATCAGCCGATACAAGGCTTTGCAATCACGAAGCAGCGATTTGATACCACTTTTCAATGCCACTCCAAGGCTGGCGGTGATGCCACGCTCTTGCTGGGCGAGCTGGCTCTCTATGATTTCTTGAGCTCGCTCCTGAGCGCGTGCAATTGCAAGATGGTACTTGTCGAGAGTGTGTGCCTCGAGCACCCCGCCGTCGTTAAAGCCGTAATCACGAGTCATGCGCGCAATCGCTTCGAACCCGCAAAGACGCCCGGCTCCATCTGCAAGCACCTGTCCGACCTTTTTCAGCATGGTTGCTTTGTGTGTCGCGGCGTCAGCTGCTTGAAAAGCCCGCCAACAGAAAGTGCCGACCATCCCTACCGTTGACATCGTTCGCAATCGATCGCAAAACGTGCCGAGATCAACAGGGTTTCCGGCATGCGCGTACTTGGAGAGGGGCGGTAAGAAGGGCACGGGGTCCGTTTGATTCTCCAAACGAAGGTGAAGACACATTTGGGAGTTGAGGTACGTTGCAAATCTCTTGTCGCCAACCTTCGGAGCCCCAAACGTCAAAATCCATTTCTTCTGTTGGAACTCGTGGGCAAAGTACGCTGCTGCGAGGTTGGCCAGAGCACCGCCTTTCGAGTGACCGCAGAACACGACTGGATGTCCGAAATATGGCTGAAGGTCTCTGGACAGACGATCTTTTGCACTCTGAAAACTTTGCCAAAAACCAGAGTGCACTCTGCCATGCTCGTCGTTTTGCTGGTCGATGAAGACGTTCGCAACCCAGTTTGACAGCGCATCTGATCCTTTGAAGGCAACGTACACGACGCCTTCGTTGAGAGCAATTATGTAGTGACAGTAGCGTTGTGGATCTTGCTCATCATCGTTGAGCGCCACGATCTTGAAGTTGTTCAAACCCAACAACTGTGTCCGGCTATAACACTGCTGAGAAAGGGTAGCGGCGATTGCAGTGAATTGCAGCAGCTCGAACGGCTGTAAGTTGACAGCTTCGGGTAGTGGCATGGTGATTGTCAAGTGAGACCGCGCTCTCAGCCTCACAGCCACATCGAGAACGGAAGCACCACAAGCCCGCCCCCAGCCCGGAGCAGCGTCGCTACGCTCTGCTTGCAATGTGCAATTGTGCTTTTTTTTTCACATATCAGTTCGTGTAAGCTCCTCCAAGTTCAGAGTCGGTCAAAACATCAGTTTTCTGTGTCACAGACGTGTTCATGCATAAAGCCAAAGACGTCAAGGTGTGTAAACCTGGGCACACACACTCAAGTGCATGTCGGGTTTGACGAGTCCGTCGCGAATGCGAAAGAAAGAACGAAAGTAAGAGGGATTGCCGAAGGGAAGGAGGCAGGACCCAGCGGCTAGGAACCACCTGACAGGCTTCACAGCGTGTAACTCGTGGATGAGGGGGTTTTTTTAACATGTAAAAAAAAAAAAAAAAGAAGAAAAAAGTCGGGAATATTCAGCGTAAATTACGGGGAAATTAAATTGCCGATTTAGCTCGAGCCGGTGTGGTCATAATTGATGGCGGGTGCACCATAAGGCTGTGCTTTCTGGGCAGCAGCATCGCGCAGGATCTGGGCTGAGAGGCGGAGAAAGTGCTCGGCACCTGCCGCGTCGCCCTGCTGCTTGAGCGCCAGCCCCGCTGCTTGAGCGGCGGCAAAGTGGTGCTTCTGCTCTGCCAGCTCCACGAGAACCTGCAGTGCCAACTGATGCTCCACCTGCACCTGGCACATGGTAGCAGCAACCTCATAGCGTTGGTGGTCGTCGCCCACGGCAGCTGCGAGTGCCTCGATCAGCAAAGACGACAGTCGCTCGGCATCTGGGGGTGTCTGATTAGCGGCACTCTCCTGGATCAAGGCGACCGCGTATGGGAAGCTGACACCGGGCACCTCATTGTCACGAGCAAGCTGATAGTACTGCTGTGCCAGCGGCAAATCTGGCGCACTGAGTCCCAGGCCTTTGTGAGTCATCATGGCCATTTGCAAGTAAGCCTCGCCCACACCACGCTGGGCGGCCACGCTGAATAGCTTCAGGGCGCGATCATAGTCCTGGTCCATGGCCTCGCCCGTCAGGCGCATGATACCTAGCTGAAAGCTGGCCAGGCCGTGACCAAGACGGGCCAGTTCGCCGTAGAGCATCACAGCTGTTTGGATACCATCAGGCGTGGCCCAGTGGTGCAAAATGTTGGCGGTGGCATAGAGGGCCGAGGTTTGTGCAGCCAAGAGCTCGGCGCTCACTTGAGTCTTGGGATAGTCCAGAAAGCCACCAACCGTGCACATGAGGGCCCCCCCCAAAGCCAATTGTGGCACTGTCTGGGTGCCATGTGGTGCATACTCTGCATCCTGAGCCAAAGGCGTGGATCCAGCCCCTTCGACATCAGCCAGCACCGCCTTGGCTGCTTCGAATAGTTCCATCTGTTGGGGCTCAGCCATGTCCTCCGAAGCCCCTAGGGCCGTTAAAACCTTATCCGCCGTACCCTCACAGTCAGACTTTTCGTAGAAAGCCCGCATCGCGTCAGCAAGCAGCGCAGGGTCTTGCAAACGGTTCGGCAGGGCTCGGTGCATGTGCGTCTGCACAAACATCTCAACATCTCGGAGAGCTAGAGAGTTGATCTGCCCTCCCGCGGAGGCCTGGCGCTCGTAATCAACCCGCGCAGTCGCCAAAGCAGGGGACGTGTGCACGCCACGTCGTTTCAACAAGGATGCGCAAGGGGAGATGGGTGCGACCGTCCGCCCCCGGTGCCAAAGTTCGCGGGACGTGGGCTGGAGCCAAGTGCGAGTGCTTGCGAGCGTCATGGTCCAAGCCCTCATCCTAGCGATCTACACACGGCTTCACCCTACCCTGTCGTTTGCGCCGAGACAATATCCGACACATACACACTCACATGCACGCACACCACAGGGCTCTGCCTCTACGGCGCCACTGTCGCAAAGTGCCCGTCCGTTCTTGCACAGAGACGAAATGAGAGAGAGAGAGAGAGAGAGAGAGAGAGAGAGAGAGAGAGAGAGAGAGAGAGAGAGAGAGAGAGAGAGAGAAAAAAAAAAAAAAAGAGAGAGAAGAGACAAAAGACTTTTTTTTTGCAACAAGGAAAATCAAAAGTGAAGGTCATGGAATAGCATGCTGGGTCTACTCAGAGTTGTACAAGATCATAGCGTGCAGTGAGATTGATGATGTCAGTGGTCGCGGTGTACAACGACCGATACGACGAGAAGTGCTACAGATGTTTCAGACAAAGGGCTGCTTTTACATGTCACAAGGGTCAATTATCGGTGCCTGTTGGACCGGGTGCTGGGAAGTTATGTTAAAGCTCTTGATAAAAGTGGTCGATGCCCTGCCCGATCTCCCAAAGAGCCAGCCCAGTGCCCAGGTCACGTGCCAGATGCACGCGCTCAGCAATACTGCGGGTGGTTGGGAAATACAAGCTGCTAGGTCCTTGGACCGTGGTAAACTGCATGGTGTGCTCGCGTGCACGAGAGTTCCAGGTGGTCCGAATGTTCGGGCCCTGTGCGCGCAAAATATCCAAGTACTGATGACCGACGATGGCACTACCGCCTTGCGGGCCGTAGATGTTGCCATAGAAGTTGAGACCCACACAAAGCTTGGGTGCAGCGGTCGCGGTGGGTCGGAGATCCTGCACGCACTTGCGCACCCAGTCGTAGGGGGCGTTGGGACCCGCCGTAGTGGGTTGGCTGAAATCGTACGTGTTCATGCTGAAAAGGTCCACGTCAGCCTCCAAAGCGGCCAGCTCGGCCGGCCCAAAAGACTCGACAAAGGGCGGCACGACCAGACCCAGTGTCAGATTCTTGTGGTGGAGGCGCTTGCCCAAGTTGCGCACGGTCGTGGTCATGAGGGGTCGCACCTCTGGTGTCATCTGGATGCGTGACCACAACTCGAGAACAATGCCGTCAAGGCCGAACTTTTGGGTGACGCGCGAGACCTCTTGTACAAAAGCACGCTGCTCAATCTTCTCGGTCAAGAGAGCACCCAGTGACTCTGGAGTCAGCTCTTCCACAATCACACGGGGCACAATCTTCACATGGGGAGCTGCCTTGCGCATGCTCTCGAGCCAGGCCGAACGCACGTCCTGCTCGCCTGTCAAAGCATGATGGGTCCAGGTGAGGAGTGCCCCAAGGTGAGTCATGCTTGTGAGCACAGTATAGACATCAGTCGACGACCACAGGCGAGGGCACAGAACGAACCGCGAATCTGGTAGTTCTCAGGGCCTTGGCGAACAATTTGGAACCAAACGGGGGCAATGTGGGTAAACTTGGATGCAAAGCGCTCGGCTACGGCATAGCCTCCCTGGTTCCAAGGGGTGAGGTAGGCCAACACGGGGCGAGGATGCGTGACGGCCTTGGTTTGGGCCTCACTTTGCGAAACCTGATCATGGTGTTTCAGGATGTGAGCCACTAGCTCGTTATCAGCCGGGCCCGTCGTGGCGCGGGCGGGTGCAAAGAAGGCAAAATAGGTTGCTACGGCCACAAAGGCTGCCAGTCCAGCCAGCACAAAGACAGTGGCGTTGGCATCCTCGCGCCGGTACGCTGGCACTGCTGCTCTTGACCTGGCGGCGGACTCTGGAGGTGCCCGCTTTGAGCCCTTGTTGTGCTTGGCCATGCTCGAAGATACGTAGCAAGTAACCGGATCCCCAGACCCAGCTCGCTGCACAGGTACGACAAGGCACGGCAAGGCCACTGCTGCGTCCAGCGCCCCCGCGTCGCGATTGCTCCGAATGAGTCTCCTCGACCGCCAGCGCCGATCTCTGAACAGACGCTTGAAGAGAAGATGTAGTTGTTAATGAGGAAAATGCTGTTATCATCACGATTCGAAAGCAACTTAACGTCGATACTAACGAGGAAGATGCAGATAGAAATTCATGAGAGAACAAACCACCAGGAATTATTAAAGTGGGACATATGTCACGCTTTCGCTTCGCATGCGTGTGAAAAGGAGAGAGAGAGAGAGAGAGAGAGAGTTTTCATCTTTTTTTTTTTCTCTCTCTCTCTCCTTCGCCTGCCGACGAGCATCCAGGCACAGCTGGAGGGGAGTATAGTGGGGACTGCCGACTGCAGACATGTTGCAAGTCTTGACTGGATTTGTGCGCGGTGCACAGCGCACCGTCAACATGACCTCGAAGCGTGGCAACGTCAACTTTTACAAGGGTATGTTGCCACAAATGCTCCTGTCGTCGCCACGGAGGAGACCGATGTGCCTGGTGGCTTTGCGCCTTGTATGTGGGCTGGTTGCCTTTTTGAGCTGCAACTGATGGCACCGATGTTTGCTGAACATGTTATGCTAGGCCGTGGTGCACGTTCGACTGGTTTCCGTACTCGCAAGGGCGGCTTTGTCTCCGACCCCTACAAGGAGGTGGCTTTTGTCGTGCCGGACTTGACGGCCTGTGAGGTATGAGACAGCCTTTGCTCGTGGTGTCGCCTGTGTCACCTGTTGGCGCTTTCACCATAATGCCACGGAGCTGATTCGTGAAGCCTATCATCTCACACCTGGTCTTGCCGGTCGCCTTTAGCTGAAGCCGTATGTCAGCTTTCGGGCCGCCAAGTGCACCAGCGTACCGGCGACGGCCGATGATCTCCTGACCGCCACTCACTGAGCGCTGTGCGCTCGTCTGGTGCTTCAGTTCTTGGAATTAGCTTGCCTGACTCATTGGTGTTGGCTTCCTTCTTATTCATGTTTTTCCTGTGCTCTGTTGCTCTTCTATTCTTGATGGTTGAAAAATCCAACACAACCAGAACCTATTCTGTACCTGCGTCTGCTGTCATTCCTCCGGGGGCCCCCATGCATCTCGTGTGTTTGCACCAGACGTTCTCACAACCTGCTGCAGAGTTGCGGATGGTTCGTGTCCGGATGGTCACATCCGCCCCTTGATTGAGACACTCTGAGTGGTGGGTCAGTCAGCCGACATGACTGTGCCGAGCAAGTGACAAAGCACCGCATGTTTCATTCCAAGTGCCTGACAAGTTTCTTGGGCCACGTGTGCCAGTGCCACATGTGCCAGTGTCTTGATAGCAGGTGTGGGCGCATATGTGTTCATTCTGCTCAGCCCACGGCTACGAGTGCAGTCGGCTTCAAAACCATCAATTCCTGGGTCCCGGATCAGTCCCGGATCAATCCCGAATCAATCCCGTCTTTCATCCCATTTTGAACTACAAGTTTGTGAGGTTTAGGCAAAGCGTGCGCACCTCGCCCGTGGAAAACCAGGTGCGGAGGTGGTCAGGAACATCCTCCAACACCAGGATGGCCTGGAATAACGTGAGCAGGAACGAGCTGTGCGTCACCAAGGCCACGCGCGGGCTTGGGTCAGCGGCCAAGGTACGCAGCGTGGCTGTGCACCGTGCAGCCAGTGCCACCTTGGGCTCGCGCTCAGTCTTCCAGAGCTCGTCGGCTTCGGGCAAATCGGGTTCCAGCTGCAGGTCTGGGAATTGCTGGTGGATGGCCGTGCGAGTGCGTCGTTGGTCACAATGGTGCATTCCGCTTTGTTCGCGCGCTGATTCAATGGCCATGAAACGAACGTTGGGCACGGCTTCAAACCCCAGCAGTGCCGTCTGAATGGCCCGTTGGAGGGTGGAGCAGTATACATGCTCTACGCCCAGCGTGGCGGCAGTACCCGTATTGGCGCGGGCCTGATCCTCGCCCAGCGACGTCAAAGCCGGGTCAACAATGTCAGGGTTAATGTAGGGGCAATCAGGCGCTGGCATATCTGCAGCGGTGACGACACACGTTGTTGAGCACACAATCGCAAGTCCACCTCGCACAGCAGCGCACCATCTTCGAGCGTGCGTCATGCTTCTAGCGAGGCAATTACATGGCATACGAACCGTTGAGACAGGTGCAGCCATGGCCCATCTTTGTGGCGGCCAAGTTGTGGTAGCCCTCTCCGTGGCGTACAAAGGACACCTGAGACCGGGGCCATCAGGAGTAAACATGAGCGAGAAGCATGGTGCGAAAGAGTGAGGAGAGGGGGAAAGGGAGGGCACGGGTTCATGTCTCCACAAAGCAACGAGCGCATCAAGTCACCTACGTATTTGAGCTGCGTGCCCGGGGTTGCCTCCCATTGCTTCCAGAGAGCAGACCCCGGCGCCGTGGCCGGAATCCGCGGCTGACCGTGCTCAAGCTGGGCCAGTTCCTGAGCGAGTCAGCAACCGTGTTGAGTGCTATTGCCCTCGATTGATTGCACGAATGCGCCCGCTTGACAAGACCAACCTCCATATGCGCCCGCACTTCTGCCTCCACACCCATCTTGCACCGGTGCCCTGTGAGAATCAACCTCAACCGCCTGCTCAGTCAGAAAACAGGCGTTCCAGCCCGCCGATCCGTCAAGATGACCTCCAGTAGACGGCGCCAATAAATGTTTGAAGAAGAAGAAGCAGACGCACAGCGAACGTGTCAAAGCAACTTATAGTTGGTATGTAAGGAGAAAATGCAGATTATAATGTAATTGAAAAGCAAGTTTATGAAGGAGATTATGATGCAAATGCAGTGTGTATGCTGACAATTCATATCAGGTACAAGAGTACGTTTTTTATTTTATTGAAAAAAGTGTCAATCGTGGTGGTGATGCAGGAGGCGGCGGTGGAGGCGGCGGAGGGTCGGGTGGGGCGCGTTGGGTCAGGGGTGGCATCGTCATGGCTGGGGGCTGACGTGGCAGATTTGGTCGTGGAGGTGGAGGCTGTGCGGGACTCATGGACCGTTCTGGCGGCTGGCAATGCCAACGTCGTGTTTCGCTCCTCGGCACCGTCTTGTGCTGCCATGGTCCTTCGCGTTCCTCGTGCTGTTCATGTCAAGCCCATCGCACGTCAAGACCAAGCTGCCGCCTGGCTGCCTGCCGAGCTGGCCTGTCCTCAGGTTAGAAGCGGGAAGCGGGTCCTCTTCGGCTCGCGCGCTGAACCCACGGTGCCGTTTGGACTGTTGCCACCTCTCACAGCACCCTCCACCCGTAGCTGCCCGTCACCATATCCGGATCATTCTTGCAACAGCTCAACGATCTTTGGCAAAGACATCCCATTGGTAACTTGGAGCCTTGACCGTTCCGCGTGTCTCCTGCGACTGCGCTGTAGCTTGCGAGCCCGATGGCCAAGCCTGCACTCAACACGCCTGTTCCCGCTCAGGACAAGTCCGCGGATGGGCCCTGTTGTCAGCGGCAGATGCGGAACCCGAGCAACCTGAGGACGCCACGAAGCGGTGGCCAGCAGCTCTCTTGCCCAATCTAACTTATGGACCGAGTCCCTTGCTGCCCACCAACAAGTGGCAGGTTCGGCCACAGGTCCTTGACAAAGCCTGGCAAACCGGCAGCATCGTGGCCGTAGAGCTCAAGCCCAAGAGCCCTTTGGATATGGTGGATGGCTACAGTGCACGAGGTTGGAAGCATGCAATGGTACTGATTGACTCTTCTTTCTCCGTGCACAAGCTTCACCACTTACGCCTGAACCTGGCTCTGGTCATTAGCCTGTCGATTCTGTCTGAAGCGCCTTGCGAGCGCCAAAGCCCCGAGCTTCAGCAAAGCAGGGTACTGCCCGCGTCTTTTGTTTTCCACACACTTGGTGCGTGCTTGCCCAAGTGTACCAGCTGTGATCTACCCGCTTTGCCATTTGACTGCCATCTGATTCTACAGGCTCACCTGGGCGACTTGCGTCCCTTGTGCTTCTTGGGTCTTCGATTCTGCCATCCCCGACCGGCTACAGCCCTGCCAAGAATTGGCGTTTGAGCGCCTGGTGGCGCAGCCCTCCAACAACTTCCGATGCTGGGTCAATGGTGAGCCTTTGTTGGAGGCTGCTTTGGTACCCTGGTGGGATCGTCACTCGAAACTGCGGACAGCCATTTTGGTAGCCCTGAACGAGTCGGGCGTGCTACCAAGGCTTCTCGAGCTCCAGCGGCTGTCCCAGGAGCTGCCCATGGAGGCATATGAGCGATTGGCCAAATTAGCAACCAGTACTGGCACGGACCAAGACCCCGATACCGCGCTGCAGGCCGCCCTGGCTGCAGAGCCGACCAACCCCGACTGGGTTGCGTTGTACCGTTACTGCCTCGCCGCCACTTTTCGTGACTGCAGCATTTTCATTACGCTAGCCACTTCCATTCCCACCAATGAGGCTGCAAGACCTGAGCAACAGCCGCCCGTTGTCTTGACTTCAGTCAAAGTCGTGGATCTGGATCTCAAGAGGTGCGGACACGCGCGCTATCAAGGACCTGCCTAGCCATTTCAGCCAAACTCACAACGTTCCGCATGGCGATTCTTGTTCTATTGGGGCTGTTGCTATTGTTCGCCTTGTTCAGCTTGAAGAAGGTACCAGCTCACCTAACCCGAGATCAGCGCCTCTCGGCGGCCGAGGCCCGGGTTCAGTTGGATGCTTCCGCGGGCGCGCCAGCAGCGACACCAGCGACCAAATCTTGCTTAGAACGACTTTTGCCAAAACCCGAATCATCATAACCACATTTTTATACACTCAATCATACGAATAATTCCAATCTGACATTTTCCTTCTTCCGCCAAGTTGGCCCCCGTCTCTGGCGCTCAAAGTCCGTTTCCCGCCCCCCTGTTCCCTGTTCCGTCTGCCGTCTGCCGTCTCGTTCTCTTGACTTTGCCAGCACGGCGCACGTCTTTTCCTCGTGCATCGTTGGCGTGGGGGATGGGAATCGCGTTGTCTGGGTCTCGCGGCTTTTGGTGCATTTGTCGCGTGGGAATATCTCAAGCGTGTCGTCCATCAGCTGTCCGGGAGGGGAGTGATGTCGGCAGCAGGACACGCAGGCAGGCAGACAGACAAAGGGACAACGTGTGTGTTGGTGTATGTGTTCTTATCGGATAGAGGTGACTGTGCGGTGGTTGATCTCAAGACTCCTTTTGGGCTGTGCAGCACAACCTGGACAGACACTCATTTTTTATTTATTTTTTTCTTTTCAAATTTTGGCTTGCCGGGCTCTCTGGTGCGCTACAATCGTTGCTGTCGCTTTATCAGGAGGGCGTTGATCGCTGTGGACCAGCCGGCATGGAGTCGGTCATCTGCCTATTGCCCACGGGCATGATCGTGAAGCTGGATGTGGCCATTGGTGGGAGTCAGACATACAACGACATCAAAAACAACGTTTGGCAGGCAGCCAGTGGCTTGCCTTTCTTCCATGAGCTCAAGGTTCGGCCCACTTGACTTCACCCCGCTTGAATCCAAAAAATAACCTTGAAACGTGACCGGCTTGGTCCGTCACTCCCCCTGACACGTGAGCATTTATGCTGCTGACTTGGCCATTTGCCACGGCTCGCTCTTGCTGCCTTTGGGCAGCAACCCCAAAGCTATGGCTTCTCAGCCGTGGGCACAGATGGCGAGATGCTCGAGCTGCACGACGATGACCTCTTTGATCGCACCCGCCTCTACACGCCCTGGCTCAAGGTTTGCTCGCGCGTGGTTTGCTTGGGCGCCATCCAGCCGGCGCTTTGTCTGGCAGTCGAATTGCTTTGGCTAATCCGCCCGCCTCCCTTGCATCCCTTCATGCACGACCACCACAGCTGAGCATACGCAAGGGTAGCAAGGAGGAGCAGCGGTTCAACTTGGATATTTCCCGGCTCATTGGCAAACAGCTGAGCGAATTTGATTTTATCCGGGATCCAGAGGTTGTGGCCTTTCGCCAGAGCATCCTCAGCATTTGCCAGAATGCGCAAAAATTGCGCCAAAGTGAAGGCATCGAGGGTGCTGCCCTGCACCGCTTCCCTCCCAACACAATCTCATCTCCCTTCCCACAGCATTTGAAGGCCAAGCTCAACAAGAAGGAGCAATTCATTCTCATGGTCTATTTCAGCAGTGATCAAGCCTCAAAGTACGTCACTTGGTGGCATTGCGCCCCATGCTTCCCCCCCCCATGCCTGTTGCCCTCACTCGGCCCCTCTTTTTTTGTGTTCTTGCTTGTGATCTGTGCACCCGCACCAGGACGGTGTGTGATATCAATCAGACGCCGGATGAACTGATCAAGGTGATTGTGCGCAAGGGACGCGTGGGTCAGAAACTTGGCTCGGACAACCCGACGGAGTACGTCCTCAAGGTGCACGGCCGCGATGAGTACTTGTTGGGCAAGTTTCGCATGGGCGACTACAAATATGTGCGCCACTGTCTGGCACATGGCTACACCAAAACCGACCTCTCCGACCACAACTGCCGTCTGGTTTTGGAGCGCCGTGACGACATGTACAAGAAGATACCTCAGGCCAATACAGACAAGATGCTCATGAGCAAGTCCGCCCTTCGTCTAGAAGAGCCCACCCCGGCCAACCCAGCGCAGGCCATGACTTGGTTCGGTGCCGAAGCCGACAGCAAGTTTTCTGTTCTGATTCGCAGTGCGCACAACGTCATCACTGGCAAACTTTTTTCCATCGGCATCAAGGCTTGCGTCTTTTTGGGCGACAAGCCCATTTCCGATGAGGAAGCCACTCGTTTCGTGCCTCCCGAGGAGAACATGAGCTGGGCCCAGCCCATCGAGTTTGATTTGGCGATCAAGGACCTCCCCCGTGATGCCCGCCTTTGCATCGCTCTCTTTGGCGTGTGGGCCAACCCGCTTAAGGTCAAAAAGCGCAAAAATTTCCGCAACGAATACGTGTTGGCCTGGACCAACATCTCCATCATGGACTTTCGCGGTTTTTTGCGCCAAGGCGAGTACACCCTGGCTACATGGACCGTCGAGGATGGTGAAAATGCTGCCTTGTTCAACCCCCTCGGCACAACCACCACCAACCCGACTCAGGGCTCCTCGCCCACCCTGACCATCGAATTTACCAAGGTTTGCGCGACCATTTTGCCATCTGAATGCCCCCCCCGCGCGCGCGTGTGTGTTTGTGTGCGTGTGGGCGTCCAAAAAGTATCAACAGAAAACCAGCTTTGGCTAACATGTCTCTTCTGCCCACATAGTTCCAACGTGAGCTTTGCTACCCCACGTCAGACTATACGCAACAACAACGCATTTACGAGGGCACCACACATCCCTTGGAGCCCAATGCTCGCGAACGTTTGGAACGCCTGATCCTTGCTGATCCCCTCTATGCATTCACTCCAGACGACTTTGACCTGCTTCGCCGCTACCGGGTACGACGTGCTTGTCGAGGCCCCGTCTTTTTGCATGCCTGCTAAGCAACTGCGAGCCACTTTCACGTCTCACTTTGTTTTGCACGTACTTGTCCACGTTGCAGGACAACTTCAAAGAAAACCCTGCTGCTCTCTCCAAGTGCTTGCGTGCAGTGGAATGGTCCAACCACGAATATGTTTGGGATGTCGAAGAGATGCTCAGCACATGGGCGGCTGTGCGGCCTGAGGAGGCGCTGGAGCTTCTTGACTCGGGTTTCAGCGATCGTGCTATCCGCTCCCATGCTGTGCAGCGCCTCGAACCCATGGAGGATGATCAGCTCCTGGAATACCTTTTGCAGCTCGTGCAGGTATTAAAGTATGAAACGTATCTGGACAACGACTTGAGTCGATTCCTGCTGAAGCGTGCCCTGCAGTCTCAGCGCGTTGGCCACTTCTTCTTCTGGTTTCTGCGCTCGGAAATTCACAACCCCGAGTGCGGCGTCCGCTTTGGCCTTCTCCTCGAGGCGTACTGCCGAGGTTGCGGATCCCACTTTCCAGACCTACACGCGCAGGTGCAAGTGCTGAACCAAATGGAAGATATTGCTGACACCCTCAAGGACAAAAACATCAAGGACAAGGATAAGAAGCAGTGTGCCATTGAGCTCGTGGAGAAGAGCACCTTTCCCGCCTTCCAGCTGCCGCTGGAGCCCTCTTTGCGCTTGGAGGGCGTCAAGGTCCGCAAGGTCTTTGATTCGGCGCAACGGCCTCTCTGGATCGAGTTTGACAACGCAGATAAGATGGGCAACTCCTTCAACGTGATGTTCAAGAATGGCGACGACTTGCGCCAGGACATGTTGACTCTGCAGCTGATTGCCATCATGGACCGCCTGTGGCAAGAACAAGGTCTCGACCTGCAAATGACCCCTTATGCCTGCCTTTCCACGGGTGACATGGTGGGGCTCCTTGAGATGGTCATGGGTGCCAAAACTCTTTGGCAAATCCAAGGTACGGCCTCACGCTGCAGCCATGCGTGACTTGAAACGCAAGTGTGCTTTGCAAAGTCACAATACGCTCACGCTTCTCTTTTTGATGCTTGTTTTGTTGGGCCTCGGTTGTCCTTTCGTGCGTCATTGATAGGCAAGATCAAGAATGTCATGTTGAACGATGACACCCTGAACAACTTTTTAAAGGCCAGCAATGCTGAGACGCCGGCCTATGACGAGGCGTGCAACAACTTTATGCTCTCTTGCGCTGGCTACTCAGTGGCCACCTACGTGCTTGGTGTGGCTGATCGCCACAATGATAACATTATGCTCAAGGAGACGGGCCAGTTCTTCCATATTGATTTTGGTCACTTTTTGGGCAACTGGAAGTACAAGTTTGGTGCGTGCAAGGCGACCTTGCTCGCACTCGGGCTCTTTGCTGAGGTGTTGACTCAATCCCATGCGCCAACTTCGCTCTGTAATTTACCACCGTTTTGCTTGCCACAGGCATTCAGCGTGAGCGTGTCAAGTTTATCCTTGTTCCAGAGTTCATCCACATCATCACCCGCGGCGAGGGCCAACGCTCCAAGAAGGTATGCGTTGCGTTGCAGCGTTTGACTGGGATCGTGGTGCGCCATCGCGGCGATGTTTCAACAGACTTCATTGACATCATATGCCCGCCGTGATCGTAGTGGGTGGAGTTCAAGGACACATGCAAGCAAGCCTTCCGCATCGTGCGCCAAAATGCCAGTCTGTTCATCAATCTGCTTAACATGATGTTATCAACGGGTACGCTGTGCGGTCAACTTGACGAATTGTAGAACTTTGTCATGTGTGTGTGAGCGTGTGTGTGAGCGTGTGTGTGTGTGTGTGTGTGTGTGTGTGTGTGTGTGTGTGTGTGTGTGGAATGCGGCGCAAGGTCATGGCAATGGTGTTGCTACTGACAAAGGGAGAGGGCTGTGTTGGGATTCTGGTTTGCTCTCAATCTTCGCTCATCTCATTCTTGACTCGACTTGGGGTTTCTTCAATGGCTTGTCTGTCGGGCATCATCACAGGCATTCCTGAGCTCACCACGCACAAGGATGTTTCGTACTTGCGCGAGACTCTGTTCTTGGATGATACCGAGGAACAGGCCGTTGCCAAGTTTGAGGATGAGATTGCGATTGCCATTCGCGATTCAAACACTGTCAAAATCAACTGGGCTTTCCATGGCTACAAGCACTGAGCCACCCATCCATCTTTCCCAACCTTTTCATTTTCGATGGAGGCACAGTTCATTTCTGGTCTGCGATCAGAGTGCTGGGTATTGCGGCGTCCCTTAGCATTGGTTCTTTCCATGGACTTGAGAAACTACTCTTTTTTGCCTTCGGCACCACGCCTTTCCGCATGCGTGTTCTCTTGCGAAGCTAGTTGCCTTCGTGTGTTGTGCATTGTCTGTCGTGTATTTACGTTGCGTTCTTCTTTGCCCTGACCGTGTGGCTTGTTTTCGTTCAAGCGTTGGAAAGCTGCTTCTGCGCTATTAATTCTTCTGTTCAACTCTTTGGTGTTATACTTGTTTTTTCATTGTTTCAGGTGCTCCATCATGATAAGCCCACCGTCCTTTCCAGTTTGAGAACTTGTGTAATTGAGTACGCTAGTATGCAACTGTCTTGCGCTGCCTGAAGCATGCTAGCAGCAGACGAGGGCGAGGAGGCACATGAAGGTGCAAATGGAACTACATGAACCCGGGGTCTAGCGCCGAGGTGTCGACTTCGATCGTGACAATTCCCGAAATGGCCTTGTCGGTTTCTGCCAGCACTTTGCAGCCGTTGGCAGGCCGGGTCACCACGGTAGCGAAACCGTAGTCCGCTTGCAATGAGGCATGGGCCGAAACAATGGTGGGGAAAATGAGGACATCGCAAAAATCAAAAGACCTAGGGTTTGGCCGCGCAGCCCGTGTGTATGTGTGAGCAGGAGCAAGGGTTTGCTAGGCCAAGTGTAGCTTGTGGTGGGGTGAAGAGTGTCGACTTTAGTGAACGCACCATTGCGTGGCGTTTTGCTGATATAAAGACCGAGTTGCTCGGGAAGCGCGGGGAGTGTTTGTAAACGCGTTGTCCTCGATCCGGACGCCTGCAACTTTGAGATTTTCCAAGGACTCGCTCGCAGAAGCATAGTAAATAGAACCCCCACCAAATCGCTACGGGTAAAGCATGTGAGCACAGCTAAGAGTAAACCTGCTCGGCGGACCTAAGGACAATAAGACCAACATTATGCGTGATTTGCAGGCCTGGGCCGACCGGCGCGCCACTCAAGATGATGCCATGGTCTACACCTGTTCCAGCGCAAAGTTGCAATGATGCGGGTGAGTTGAACAATTCAAGCGCGCTGCAAGCTGTGGATAAGAGTCCGTGGGAAGGGGTGGTTGTTCAACCTGCGATGTCTGCGCAACACTCGAACCCATCCACCCAGATATTATCGGACAGGCCGCCATTTTCAAAGAGTGCTCGCCCGCCGTCAATGTAACAGCCCATGAAGCGATTGCCCCCTGCTGTAATGTGAAATGCTCGAGTAAAATTCCAGTATAAAGCCACTGTGATGGGGAGGGCAAAGCCAAGTCGGTGGTGTGCCGTGGTCAGTCGGCAGATTTTCGCGTTCAGCAGTCGCAGGAACGAAGGCTTGGGTATGTAACGAACGTACCGTTCATTGGAAACCACACGTGTACACCTGAGACGTAATCGGCAGCCCCATTGACGGCCACGCCAATACGACTGGAGAAAACGATGGTGTTGAGAACGTAGTGGTCATTGCCGTCAATCTGAATGGCAGTGGCGTTTGGCACACTTCCAAAACGAACGAAATCAAAATCAAAGTTTGTCTCACCCAACCTGGAAGCAACAAAACCGGTGCAGTGAGATGATGCCGCGTGGTTTGCCCCTCAGTGGGAGCCATTTTGCATGGCAAGGCGTGTAAGAGACCGTGTCAGTCCAGCTTCAAGGACGCGAAAGAGGGCGCACCAGCAACGATCCATCATAACCTCGTGGCCTTGATAAATGTGAACACCGTAGTTTGAAAAGTTGAGAAAGTAGGCACCCGGGCCGATCGTCACGCCCATGACGTGGTTGATCTGCATGCAGCCTGAAGCACGATGGCTACCATCCATGAAAAGAGCAGGGAAATTAAGATCCAAGTTGCATGAGCCTTGTGGTACGTTGCAGCTATCGGGTATGCCCACAATCAGCATGAACTGGTCGGTCGGAAAGGTGGGACCTGCCACAATGGAACCAAAACCTGCGACATAGCTCAGGGTTGAGTCTTGGGCAAGAATCAAGCAGGCACCGCCACAGGGCCAACAAGAGCTGTGGCCATTGCAGCTAGCCGGTCGTGCACATACCGAGCTGCATATTGGCTGTGTAAATGGGTACTTGAATGGGCCGGGAAATTCGATATTCGCCGCCTTCCAGGTCGATGAAGCAGCCTATCAAGTCGAAAAGTAAGAGGACAGCGAACACGGCGCAAAACCAGCCGGCGCGAGGGATTGTCGTGTTGGCATCGAGGGGGCGCAGTGAACATACCCCCCATATCTCGGATGGCTTTGCCATTGTTGAAGGAGGTCGACCCGGGAAATAAGCCATTTGGACTGAGGTTACTTTGATTTTGACAGGTAGCGATGGCAGCCTAGTTTGTCAGGAAAAAGTGAATGCCTGGCGGCGGGTCGGAAAAGAAGGGGCGTCGGGGTGGTGGCCAATGAGCGAGATGGATGGGCACCACGCACATCAAAGGCAGCACTGCTGTCATCGCGCCCGGTTGGGTCGCCCCCAAGGGCTACGAGAGAGACTCGCAGGGCTTGTGGTTGATCCTGGAGAAAAGTGGCTGAATAGTATGCCATCGCCGTTGGTTGAGGTGTCTGCGTATAGTGCTAGACTCGAGCGAGCCCTCTAGAGCAAGGCACCAAGGACGGAGGGGGGGAAGCGAGCATGATCAACGTACAAGGGCTACGGCCGCGATCGGCCTTGAAATTGTGCACAGGAGAACTGTGAAGCTGCTGTGGAGCCCGCAGGTGCAGCTCGTTCACGCGTCGCAGGTAGTGGGGAAAGCGCGTCCCATCCGCGCCCATGGCAGCCCCCGCCAGCAAAACCAGCCCCACCACCACCGCCATGCAGCCAGGCTGGTGGACCGCCATCATGACATTCGTGACAGCAAAATTCTCAAAAAAACATCAAAAAGTTGAATGATGACATCAACCAGTGCGACAAAACATCAACAAAGAAGCAAAGAACGCACTTTGAAAGGTACGTTTCCTGATCAAAAGTCTTTGAAGGAGAAGCACTGTCGCTGTGCTGTGCATGATTGATGATGCTATTAAGGTCAGTCAATTATACCGGCCAGGACAATGCCGTTGGCAGGGCAAAGGGCCCTGGTTGAGGCTGCGAGGTGGACCAAAAGCTCAAAAGTCGTGTGTGAATGGGCATGTGCCCCATATTTTCTACATACACATCAACAAATTGGAGGGGGCAGGGGGGATCACCCTGTCAACATCACGGCAAGTTTGGCACAACAGTCGAGCTCACAAGCGCGCATGCTTCCAGCGCCACACACAGGACCCTGACAGGCAGGATCGCGGGGCAAAAATATAATGGATAGTAAAAAGAAATAAACAACATCACCCTACACTACTGCAGGCTAGAGTCGCTTGCTGGTGACGCCCAAAACTGGGTGACTGGGTAAAGCAATGTCCTCGTTGCGCATGTGCTGGACTGGAAGCAGGGTATCACCCGCAGCGCGACGCGCCTCAGCCCGCGCCACCCGAGATAAATCTTCCTTGGCCCGCTTGAAGTTGTTGACAAATTCCTCAAACACTGAGAAAAATTCAAAGGGTTCAATCTTGTCCGGCACCTCATTATACAGTACGCAGACGCGGCGGTATTGCTCTGACATGCTATTGAAACGCTCCGCAATGCGAGCAACTAAACAGGGGTGCAAAAGCCATCCAATCGGTGAGGATGCACACAAAGCACCGTACGCCTGGAAGATGGGCGGTTGGGTGTGCTCCCGCGCGCAAGCCGTGGCGCTGAAAAAGGAGCAAACGAGCACAAATCGAACACCCACCTTTTTGAACGGCATGCAAATAGAAGGAATGCAGGATGAAATTATTTTGCTGCTTCTCGCGCTCGTACAAAACCAAGTCAATGCCCTTGCGTAGACCCTGGACATCGGTGGATAGCGTGACGATGGATACACGCGCGGCATCACCCACGGCCTCGAGATCGTCGATGAAACGCTCCACCTGCCAGAACGCCAGGACTCAGTGAGGACAAGGCGCTCGACCAGTCAGGGCCAAGCGCAGTTCAAAACATGACAATCAAGTAAATATCACACTCACACACACACAAACAAATAAAGCCTTCAATGCTCGAAAGGGGCCCAGCCACAACATACGTCAGGGTAATGGTTCTGGACCACTTTGACCAGATAGTGAAGCAGGGTCATCTTGCGATCCGACGATTTCGTGTCCAACAGCTATCAAAGTGAATCATTCCACACGGGGACGGTCGGTGAGTATAGACGAGCACGACGTGAGTGGTCACAGGCTCGGCTATCTTCAGGGGCACTGCACCGCACCGTTTTGAATGTTTCAATCTTAAAGCCATATGCTGGTCCGCGTTTGGCCGAGTTCATGTAGTTGCCAAAGGCCAAGATGATCTCGAGCAACTAAGACCAAGGACAGCAATCATTGCATGAGGTTCCTGCTGCTGTGAATGGTACCCAGCAAGGAACCAGGCGCGGTGATAACAGACTGACCTTCTTAAAGGCAGTACTGTGCTGCAGTGCCTGTGAGGCCGCTAGCACAGCTTCAATTTGTGGCATTGCCTGCAAGACAACCTCATCGAAATAGCCAATGTAGGCCATGACGCGCAGCCTAAAAGAAGAGCGATGGCAGTCAAATAAACAAGGTACCAGACTTGCTGTCCAAATTTCTCGCATCCCTTCCTATTTTTTTTTTTTTTTTCGCGGCTGATTTGAATGGGTGTTGTACCTGGATTCGAAGCGGTCGACGTTGAGGGTCTCCAGCATGAAGCGCTCAGCCTCTGCCAGTCGCTCGCGATGGTGCGTGTGCTTCTCCAACGCCGCGACTTCTTCAGGGCTAGGAACGTAGTTCAGAAGTAGTTCAGCATGCTCGGCGGGAAGCAGCGTCAAATCAGTCGAGAGGACGGTTGCACGCAAGTCCTCGGACGACATGCCCACGCGGCGCGTGGTGATGACTGCAGTCAAGAATTGGGGTGGTAGTGGTGGTGGTGTTGAGCGAGCGAACACACGGCCAATCCATGTAACGGTATGCTTGGGGTGTCAAGCATGGTTTGCCAGGCAATGCAGCGCGCATACCGCAGTTGTGCGCACGGTTGGCCTCGAGCACGGTGATGGACTCTTGGTGGCGTTTACCAGCCTTCTTGCGAAGCTCATCAATGCCTTTGCCCTCCTTGACGCGGAAAGCCGATTCAAACTGCAAACCGAAGGGGCGGAATACAAAAAGCAGCGGGGGTTGGCGTTGAGATGCGCAAGCGAGACATGCTGTTCATCTGCAACGGCCGGCTTTGCTAAGTGCCTGATTCCCTTCCATGTGAGCCACTGGTGCTGGGGACCGTACCTCGGCAAAATCAAAGGTGGCAAGAATTGCCTCGTCGTCCAACTCTTCGAAGATGGTGTCCGTGATCTTACGCAGCGGGCGCCAGTTGAGAAAGGGGAGGGCAACGTTGGGATGAATACGACGCTTGGGCTTCATGCCATCGGGCGCATATCCAAAGGACATGATGGGTGGTGCCGGCGGAATGCCACCGCCTCCGGGCAGGGGAGGTGCCGGTGGGGCGACGAGGTTGGGGGGCAGCGGCGGAGCAGGTGGCACCGGAGCGGCAGGGGCATCCGAGTTGGGCATGGGAGGAGCGGGGGGTGGCGGAGGTGGCGGGAGCGAGTCAGCATTAGTATCCGCCGTGGCGCTAGTTGTATCAACGGAATCACGCATTGGAGCGTTGCGACGGCGCTGAGCTTGGCGCTTAAATGCCAGCTGTTGTTGGCGCAGTTGCTCCGCCTTTGAACGTTGTGCAGAGCAGGAAAGAACAAAACAAAAAAAAAAAAAAAAAAAGGGTAAGAAGTTTGAAAGGTACCTATGTGTTTGTGTGCGTGCGTGCGTGAAAAGCGAGGAAATGTGCAGGCAGAAAGTACGTACAGCCCGGGCGACCTCGTCTTCCAGCTCTTGCATTTGCTTTTGCTGATCGTTAAGGAGTTCTTCCTGCTCCAAAAGGGTCGCGCGTGTTTTGTTCAGCTTGCCCTTGAGGGCTTCAATTTCCTTGCTCTGGGCCTGGGATTGTTGCTCAAGATCACTGGCTTGCACGCGTGCATGCTCAAAGTTGTGTCGCAGTTCGTCGCGTTCGATGCTGGCTTCTTGAAGATTCTGTTTGGTGGCGGAGAGCTGCTCTGTGGCCTCGAGATACAGTTTGCGATACTCATCTCGCTTCTTCAAGACGCCCACGACGTCAAGAAGCTCGGCTTCGTACTCGTTGACTAAGCGTTCCACAATGCGATTGGTGTGGCTGCGCATGGTCTTGATTTGGTCTAGCAGGCCAGCGCGTTCAAGGTCCATCTGAATGTAGATGCGAGTGTTGTCTTGGTCGGTGCTACGAAGTAGGGTTGTGAAAAGGCGGAGGCAGGCGACGATGTAGTCGTCGTCGGCTCGGTTGTCCGTCATGTAGCGCACGACTGTTTCAAACCGGGTGTGCTCCAGCACGCGACTGGAAAAGTAGTGGAAGGCGTCAAGCGTTCTGAGGGCACCGCCACCGGGGTTGGCAGCAAGAGCTGCCATCATCTGAACGATGGCGGTGCGGGTACGAGGCACTTCTGAGGCCAAGTTGAGGATGATGCGGTTCACAAAGCCGTGCTCATCAAGGACCTTTCGCAAGCCATAGTCGTGACGCATGAGCGCCTTGAGGCAGAGAATACCGAGGTGGTGTTCTTCCTGTGTTGTGGGCACGGGCAAGCCATAGCGGGGAAGCAAGAGTGGTGGTGAGTTGCCTGCTGTGACTCATGTCGCGTAAAAACAGCAAAAACAATGAACCCAAGTCTTTTGTAGAGGGGGGGGGGGGCAGGGCGCGCACCGGAAGACGTTGAAGGACGGGGATTGGAGAGCGGAATTCCAAAGCATCTGGTAGGTCTTCCATAAACTCGATGAGGACCAAGTGCCCACTGTTGGGCGGGTCGCAGAATTCTTCGACCCAATTTGAGGCGTTAGTGCGGAGAGCGACCTCCAGCTTGCGTAGGATATCATAGGAGACCTCGAGGTCCTTGAGCTTGGGTTTCTTGACCTTTTTGTTGCTGCGGGGCCCGGCAGTTCAGACGGAGAGCAGACCGGTGGACAGGAGGAAATCAGATTGGTCCAGCAAGGCGAGCGGGAAGAATGAGGCAATGCAAGAACCCTGGCTGGCTGGCGCGAGGGCGTCGGGGGAGGTTTGACGGACCGCAGCTCAGGGTCAAGATGGCGGCGTAGCTGCTCAACGAGCCGGTCCGGTGGGGTTGCCACTGATGTTTGTGTCTAAGGCACGAGGAGCAGGATGGGAGTGAGGGTTGAGACAAGACGCATTGGTGGTGTGGCAGCTGAGCAAGACCTCTTGGCTTGCAAAGCCAATCGAAATATGGGGTCATGAATTACTGACACTAGAGCGGATGAGCTTCCATTTTCGCTCGTCGGGCATAGCAAGAAGGTCGCGCTCGTGGTCTGGTGGTACATTCATGGTATCCTGAAAGGCCCAGAGTTGCATGCAATGAAAGGATCAGAAGGTGGCGTGGTGGCTGTGGAGGGGCTTGGTTTGCAGCTGTTGATGATGTGTCGTACCATGAGAGCGCGAAATTGGATGTCAAGTTCTGGCTTGTCGGGCATGGGGGAGTTGTCATCTGTAACCAGAGAGGAAATGCGGCACGATCATGCGGCACGCCGCGTGTGAGCATCTTGAGCCAGGTGCAGGGGGATGGTCAAACTCAGGATCCGCCTGCGCGCGAGCAGCAGCTGGGGAGCAGCCAATGTTTGATGCGCGCCCTGACTGGCTACATTGGCAGCAGAGGTGGAGCTCAGGGAGGAGGTGTTAATTTCGTACCGTCCAGGTCTACATTGGCCGGGGCACCAATCTCAGCCTTTGCCAGCCTGGGACTCGAGCTACCTCGCTCCACCGGCGGAGCCGGGGCGTTGAGCGTCGACGCCATTCGGGACCACTGCTGCTCTTGATGACGGTCGTCAACTTGTCGATCAACTCTTTTGGTGTTATTTTTTTTTTATGTGAAAAAATTGGGAGAGAGAGAGAGAGAGAGAGAGAGAGAGAGAGAGAGAGAGAGAGAGAGAGAGAGAGAGAGAGAGAGAGAGAGAGAGAGAGAGAGAGAGAGAGAGAGAGAGAGATGATGATGGTCAGTTTGAGAAAGAGAGAAATAAAGAGCAAAGACACAAAGGACTACCACAGAATTTAGAGAGAGAGAGAGAGAGAGAGAGAGAGAGTGTGTGTGTGTGAGAGAGAGAGAGATTGAGAGCGAGAGATTTAGAGAGAGAGAGTCATACATTTCATTCACTTAGACCGCCGTCGATCAAAGTTAACATCAACCAAAAAGGATGATCTGAGCGGCAGTCGGTGTGGCTGGTCGCACAAAGAGAGGGAAGGGGTCGTGGCGCATCTCAAAGCCGCGGACGGGCCCATGGGAGTAGGCGTGTGGCACCTGGCTGCCCGCACTTTTCCAGGCTGCCCTTTGCACCCTTTGGTGCTAGGTCTGATTGTATTGTGGCGCCACAACAAAAAGGGGCGGATTCAATGACACATGGTTACAAAATTTATCTGACAACCACCTTCATCCAAAATGATGACAAAGAGTTTATCAACGCGCTTCAAAAAAGACCCTGCCTTGAAGATGGAGATGACATGTGCCCCCGGCAGAATCAAGCTCTGGTATGTAGTCCTGGGGTAGCGGACACGATACCCTGCTCGGGCAGGTCTTCGAGATGGGGGTTCGGCCGCTTCGCGCCCCGACTCGAGGCGGGGATTCGGCACTGGTGGACCAATCTGTCTGACCGCGTAAGTGACGTCGAATTAAACGCCAGGGGCAATTGTTGGACCAGACATCATCTGCTCATTGCATCCTTTCCCACATGGTCAACTGCACGAGCTCTGGCTGCCGTGAAGAACGTCATAAAGCTTGCTCGCGTTTTGATGTTGGCAACTCGTGCACATCATGATAGAGGGTGATCTGAGGAGTGGCGCAGTGCGCATGCTCCGGGCGAAATGCTCCGTGGAGTTATAAGGCTGAATCGTTCTGCTTGAATGAAGTTGTCCAAAGGTAGCCCAACACTTGGGTGTTTGGATTTTGTGGTACATCTGGCAAACCTTTCATCGCTTCTGGTCGGCCACGCGCTTAAAAGCACGATTGAGAATAGTGCAGCCGCAGAACGCCAAGTTGTTTATAAAATCTGGCATCATCGGGTGCCCAGAATGCCCATATCGTTCCTTTTGCGTTCATTCGAGCAGCTGCTCTGGCACGGGTCATTCATTTCTGGCCTGTAGGACATAACTAGCAACCGACGCTGCTTCTTCTTGTTGCCTGCGAGCTTCGCACCCATAAATGGCTGGTCAGCGGGCCGTCCGTGGCAGCTTTTCGAGCCGTAAGCGCGGTCGCAGTTGCGCAAATGAGACGCGAGGCGCCTGCACAAGTGGTTCGGAACTTTCTTCTCTTTCTTGCCTTCCTGCTTGCGTGCTCATGCGTGAGGCGAGGGCCGAAGAGGCAAGGAGGAGTTGTGATAGTGATGCGCCCGGGCGGTTCAGTTTAACAACGAGCACAACGACCACTGCGTGCACCTGCCCATGTGGTCGAGCTGCATTATTTACGCGAGTAAGAGGGCACCTGTTCTTGCCTCAGGGCAACTGGTGTGAGGCACAAGTCTTCGCAGCTGAACTGAGTTGGCTCCTGCGTGCGCCAAAAATTAAATCAAGTAGTGGACAACTTTTGTCGAGATTGAGTCAGGACCAGGCCACGCTGCCCTCGGCATCCATGGCTTTGATGTCATCAGGAACACACACACACACACACACTCACACACACACACACACACACACACACACACACACACACAAACACACACGCACGCAGACACACATGTATGACATTCTGGCCCCTGAACAACGATGCGGGTTTTGGTGCTCGCAAACCCCAATGTTGTCGGTGGCCATGCTGTTGTTGTCGGGGATGGTGAGTCGTTAAGGTGGCAACAATGGTGCGTTTTGACTCTCAAGCTGACCATGAATAAAAACCCAGTGATTGCATATGGCATGGGCGCCGGTCGTTGAGCATGAGTCGACTCGCAGCAAAATGAGGGTTGACGTAGTGTTGGGCGGTTTTCGGTTTGGCAAAAAAGGCTGAGTGGAGCTTTTGGGTCAGTGCGCAGTGCGCTGTATCGGTTTGGCGCGGTGTGAGAAGCATTGAAAGGAAAAAAAAAAAAAGTCAAGTCTGATCGAATCGATTTTCTTAAGGGAAGTCGAAGACTGCCGAGGCACTGCCTCGTGTCGAGCCTCTGGCCCATGACAACAGAACAGAAGGATGATAGCTTGATACAGGAGAAAACAAAAAGTCGAATAGAAACAACACAGTCAGTTAAGGGAAATACTCGATCCCAGGTCAAAGCGCGCAGCGCCACTCAAAAACACAAAGCTAAAAAATCAGGGCAAAGCCACAGAGGATTTAATACACCTGACTTGAGCGACGAGCACGGCTGTTGGAAGAGCTGACACAGTGCACTGTGGGGTCCTTGGGGGAGGTCGGAGACACGAGGTCAGGGAGGACGAGGGGCTTGTCCATTTTGGCCTTGCTGGGCGTGGCAGCGCGGGGCTTGCTATCGACAAACCAGGGCTCCTGTGCTTCGAGAAACCCAATCACCTCGTCAAGCGTGGCGCGCTTGGCAGGAACAGGGTGGAGCATCTTGACGATGAGGCGGTGGAGCTTGAAGCTGAGGAGGCCAATGGACTGGGCCGGGCCGGGCAGGTGGCCGGTGCGGCGGAAGTTGAGAAAGTCAACGTCGCGGTTGCTGGCAGCATCCCAGGGCAGGTCGGCAAAGAGAGCCGCATACCAAGTGATGCCGAGAGCGAAGACGTCGGCTGCCTGAGTCATGACCACGCCCGAGCGGTTGTGCAAGAGCATCTCTGGGGCCATGTAGGCTTCAGTACCGGGAACGGCGTTCATGTGGCGGTGGTTCTCGGGGACGGCGAGGCCAAAATCGGCCAGGAAGAGGTTGTCGTCCGAGTCGATCAGGCAGTTCTCGGGCTTGATATCAGCGTGAACGAGGCCAACCTGGTGCACGGAGCGAATGGCTTCAGCGAGCTGACGAATCCAGCGGCGGGCTTGGGACTTGGACAAGCCGGGGCCGTTGGGCTCGACGCGGGAGTAGAGGTCACCACCGCGGAGCAGGGGCATCACAATGCAGACACTGTTGTGGTCGAAAAAGTGGTCCAAGATTGGGACGACATGGGCGGCTGGGGGCTGGCTGTGGACGGTCTGGAGGTTCTGCACCTCGGCATCGCGGGCAAAGTTCTTGGGGCTGCGGTGAATGACCTTGATGGCCACGTCCTGGCTGCTCACACGGTCGGTGGCGCGGTACACCTGCGCATAGGCGCCCTTGCCCAGTGCTTGCTTGACCTCGTAGCGGTCTTGGAGCACGGTGGGACCGGCACTCATGGTGCTGTGGTGCTGTTGTTGTGACTCGAGGAAAGAGAAGAGTAGCAAGAGTGTTCAATGGGAATGGACGCGAAAGCTGGCAAAGACAAGGCAGTAGGGAGTCGCGGGGGGAGGTGTGTGCTTGATGCTGGCTGGAAGCTCAAGTGAGAAAATGACGAGCATCGAGCTTCGAGTTTGACAAATACTCGTTGGTGGATGTCGTGGTGGTGGTTGTGACGTTGGTTCACAGTCGAGTCGAGTCAGGAAGGGGTTGTGTGGATGAAAGCAAACGCTTGGGACGAGGTGACGAGGGTAACAAGAAGGGTTTGCGTCAGTGTTGGGACTTCGCCCCCCCTCCCCCCTCCTTGCCCCTCCTTTCCCCTCCGTCCCCATCCACATATCTTTGGTGTGACAGCTTGGGTTGGTTTGGATGGGGGTTGGGGGAACACAGGGGGGGGGGAGACGTCAGAAAGAGCAAGAGAGGACGAAAGGGATTTAAAGGAATTGTTGGTAGTGTTCTGTTGTTGGCTGTGGAGAATTCTTAAAAGCACTCCCGTCCATCCGTCTTGTCTTTTATGAATTTCTCTTTGTGGTGCTTTTGTGGTTGGGGATAAGGTGTTTGGTGATTGGGTGTGTTCCAGGTTAAAGCTGTGACTGTGTTGGGTGGGGGAGACAAAAGTGATGTGGGTCGTTCATGGGTCGATTCGGATTGGCTGTAGCTGGCCTTTGCCTTGAAAGAAAGAAAGAAAAGAAAGAAAAGAAAGAAGAGAGAAAGAAGAGAGGGAAGAGAGAGGGAAGAGAAAGAAAAGAAAAGATCAAAAGGCTTGTAACACATGGCAGGTGGCTTGGGCTTGGGGACTGTTACCTGAGAAGCGGTAAGGGTTGGGAACATGTTCTTCGATTGCCGCTCAAGGGACAATCAACATGACCGCCAAGTCCTGTCTGTCTTGGGCAGTTGGAGTGCTCGAGGCGATACATTGAACTACACAAGACAAAGACCTGACCAATAAGGATTAGGAAGGGTGGTTTTGTTGGGTTGAGATGTCAAAGGCTCTCCCCCACTTTTCGCCCGAATCTGACGTAGAGACAAGTGAGAACAACGCTAGTCCTGACAGGTTATGCCGAAAAATTCTGCATTTTTGCATCAGGACAGGGGGGAGGAAGGGTTAGGGTTTTCTGACACACTTGCATACACACACACACACACACGAAACGTCGCGACGTCACCCGTTCCCACGTGTGGCACGCAGAATGAAGGAAGGGTTCACTCGCATTGAGCTTACGCAGTTCGATTAGTCCTGACGCAGACGTATACCAAACACCTCCACTAGATTCCACAATCGCCACCCCCTTCGCCACGACATGCGGGCGGGTGTGCGAGCCGAACACCCAACAACGTTGGGTTGTGGCATGCGTCTGCCATAGTGCATGAGATACTCATCATGGCGGCGCGCGCACCCATGTACCTTCCCCTCTGAACACGACTGACATCTGCTGCCTCTGCGTGGCCTCCGCGTGTGGCAAAAAACCTTCAAACAAGCTCGCTTTCCAAGCCCGCAACTTCGTGTTGATTAACGTGTAAACTTGTCATCGCAATCACAACACACGCTGGCAGTGTCAAGTGTAAAAGCCATCGGGTGGGTGGATCGGAATGTTACATCAACAGCTGCACAGCATGTCCCTGGCCAAACCGCCAGTGCTTAGCGTACTACCTTGATTTTGCACGAGGAATCGCACGTGGAACCGTCGTTTTCAACTGTGTACCACATACTGCCGAGCCATACCATGGGCCAGGACAGAACAAGACCCAACCAACTTGGGTGCACGTTCCGCCCTCTGCTTCTTCTGCTGTGAAAATGGCGAACAGCACAGTCAACTATTCGCAACAGGAAGAATCAGGTTGGATAGTTTTGCCGAATCGATCCTAGCACCAGTCATTTTGATGACAAAGAATGTGTCATCCGACTGAATCAGTGAGTGAAGCCCGGTCGTGCGCTCGCGCAAGAACAGCATCACTTTGGCTCTTTTCAGGCTGATTCCGTCCCATGCGTGCAGAGAAAAGGGGGGCGGAGGCGGAGGGGAGGAGCTGATTATTGCATGGACCAAGGTCCAAGAAGGGACGTGCCGCTTTCGCTACAGGCCAAACCTAAACAGCGTTGCGCACAGGAGCTGGCCACCCTGGCGGGGTGCCCGTGATGATCGCTCGTCACTCCCATTTGGCTCAGTGTGCCCAAAGCCTGGGTGGATCTTTGGAAAGGGAAATCAGCCAGCCAAAGAAGGTAGGTCCGAAAGGCAGAACAGGCAGGTCGTGCGAGCTGGGGACTTGGCTGAGCTGGTGTTCAATTCGCGACAGCGGTACCGCATCTTGCGCTGGCCCTTCGATTGCATAGAAAGGGCAAAGCAGCGTGCTGTCCCTGTTTCCGTTGGTAATGCGCGAGCAAAGGAGGCCTTGCGCCAACGCGGGTTTCGAGTGAAACAGGAAGACCCCGGCTGCGACAACATCACGAAACAAAACCCTTTCAGCCTTTGATAGGGTCCCTTTTTGTCGTTGGCTCTTTTCGAGCAGCATGGTTTATAAATTCCGCGAGGTGTCAAGCCGGCGTGGGGTACTGGAATCTACAATTTTTCATACCCTGTCTCCGAAACGTGAAGCATAGACATGACAGGCATCTCGCAGGTTTCACACTCGCAAGGCTCAGCCCTGCCGAGGCTGTCCTGCATTGAGCCAACATCAAGCCTTGGCCTAGGGGTTGGTGCCCTTGAATTGGGTTGCCCCAAGAGCATTCGTCGTCGCACTGACCCGGGTCATCACGTCCTCCATCTTGTTCTGAAGAAGAACTCTGCCCCGAGCCGGCCAACAGTATGTCTGCACACTTTGCTTGGGGTCGACGGCGAAATGGGTGGCACCGGGTAATGCCTCAGCGTGGTCGAGGCTCAGACACTCAACCCCAAGCAACACGCGAATAGCTCTCAAGTGCCAGAGCGCCAGCGGCCACAAAGAGCCCTACAGACTCTGGCAGCATGACAAGTCGTCCATTGCTCAAGACTGGTCTTCTTTCAGTGTCTTCGCTGCGCTTTCGTCCCATGCCACAATGGAGCGGGACGTGTGAAAGCCAAGGCAGAGTGCCCTCTCCCCAACCCGCTTGCCGTGCAAGGCTTCTGGTCCGCAGTTGGGGCAAGCCGCGATTTGTCAGACACAAAAAGTCAGATAGAAAAGATGATGTCAGAAATAATCTCATTACCAAATGTATCAAAGTGTTTCTCTGACTCTCTATCTCTCGACGTCGCCAGCAGCAGCAGGATGGGATCCAAACGGACCAGTCGGAAGGCAGCTCCCGTGCCTGCAAAGGGGGGTGAGGTGAGTGCCGGTTGGTGGTGCTGTTGCTGGTCTGCTGTTGTGCTACAAGGAGAACTGGCAGGCGTGCAGCCTCGCGTCTCACTGTGTGATGCATTCTTCTGACGCAGCCGGCGCAGGCCGATGAGGCGGACGCAGCGCCAGAGGTTGAGGCGGAGAGCCCGATCATCATCTCCAAGTGGGACGGTCAGACAGTGCGCAACAGCCTCGAGGAAGCCTTTTGCAAGGTCAGTTTAGATCCATGCCTGGCTGCCTGCTCCCTCAGGTTGGATGCAGTGCATTATCGCATGCTTTACACTGACGGGCGAGATCGGACGGTAGGCCACGGGTGATGCCGTGCCTGAAGAATTTGAGCAAGCCACGGCCGAGGAAGATTTCAAGCTGATCATGGCCGCCATTGGTTGTGCTTTTGCGGGCGTAAGGATTTGTCAGCAACGCCGCCTGCACCGGCATGTGACGGGACATGTCGACTCATGCTCTCCCGAATGTCATGTCATTGCAGTATGCTTGCATCTACGGCCTCTTCGTGCCCCACCCAGCCAGCTCGCAAGTCGTTGGCATTTGCGCGGCTGCCTACTTTGTCTTCATGACCATTCTCAACGTTCATGCCATGTTCTTTGATCAGCATGCCGCCGTCCTTATGCGTTCTCAAAAGGTTCGGATGTCCCTCGAGTACCCACGCCCTGCACTGCATGGGCGGCCCCTGCCCGGCGCAGACTCCCACGCGTCGCTCTTATCGAGCTTCAATTGTGCCCAATCTCACTGTGCCACATCACCCACACCCGTGGTTATGATCATCCAACCGCACTATAGACCGGGCAACGCCTCTCCACATTTGTCCACATGAACAAGTACTCGCCGGAATTGACAGTGGAAATGATTCTGGCTAGTTCAGCCGGCACCTCCAGCTCACAAACCTTTGATGGGTTCGTTTGTCCACCTTCCTGCGATTCTCCAGCCAGCCTGATGCTCGTCCTTTCTCATCGAGAGGGGGTCATGAGCCTGTTATTCACGCACCTGCTGTGGCTCGCCTTAGCCATGTCGGCCAGTTTTTTTACGAAGACGGCGAAATGTGCCGAGAGGCCGTGGTTCAGGTTACGGAGGTGCGTGGGCTCTGTCTGGTATCACCGCGTCTCCATCCTGCCGGGTCAGCATGCGCTCACAGGTTTTGACCACACTCTTGGTTGGAATGTCAGGATTTGTTGAGTCAATTACTGGCCTTAAAGAATGAATGAGAGCTTGATCTGATCCGAATGCGAGCACGAGAGAAGCAGAGGCATCCAGTAGCCCCGCTCCCACACACCCACACGATAACAAAACAAAAATAATCAATCAATGGACGTTGAAAACAATTCAGATGTACATTTTATTCCGACAGGCCAAAGCGAGCAAACAGAGATGAGACCTCGCATGCACAGCCAGAAAGGCCCGGGCAGCTACCAAACGAGGTCGGCAATGACGTCAATCACCGTCGCTCGAGAATCGTACACGGCGGCTGGTCGGAAACATATCTAATGTGCAGGCTTGGCCCGCTTTTGAGGAGGGGCCCCGTTGTCGGAAGGCTGGTGAGCGTGCTGGGCTGGCGGTCTCGGCGGGGCCGCTTGTGGTCGGTGGGTCGGCGCTCCAGGTGCGGCAGGGCGGTGCCCATGCTGGCCTCCCGTAGGTTTACCGGTATGCGTGTGGGCCGGAGCACCACCACCAGCTGGTTGCGTGGAGGAACGGGCGGTGCTCGTCTTGGCGTCACGTGGTGGTCCTTCCAACCCAAAGCCAGCCTGCTCGTACGTTTGCCGCTTGGTCTTGGGCATACGCAGGTCGCGTCGTGGCACCGCGCGTGTCAGGTATTCATGTGTGTCTTGGCCAAAGCGAGACCTACGTACACGTGGCGATGCCAAGTAAGGCGAACCAAGAAGAAGCCGCCGCAAGCCTAAGGAAATTAGGACGCAGATCATTGCCGGCCACATACGTGTTTGGTGTCGCATAGCGCTCGCCTTGCGTGTACCAGCAAGGATGAATGGCGGCCTTTTTGGCTGTCAAACGCTTTGTCGGATCCCAGACTAAGACTTCGGTAAGAAAGTCCACAATCTCTGGGCACTTGACACGACTGAACCTATACGGAGGCGAGTCCACGCAGCTCAGATAAGACGGGGTGTCCAAAACGAACACTGCCGGAGTGAGTGCTTTGGTAAACGCCTAGGGCCCGTGAGCTGTGTGGGTACGAATTAAACGAACATTTGAGTCAATCGGCCGCGCAGGTCCGAGTTGAATTGACGTCGAGGCATGATAAAAGCCACCTTGCGAAGCGTCATGGCCTCTTCCCACTTGGTGGGCGAGCCAAGGAGCTGCAGGAGGAGGGGTGTAAGAGTTGTTGAAGCGTCAACCGGTGTCCTTTTCCTATGGCCATCGGGCTGGGCGAGGGCTCAAGGCAGCACACCTTGCAAATTTCCAAAAACTGGTCCAAGTCATGATCTGCATCATCACCATCTCGAACGCCGCCTTGCAATATAGGCGAGCCTGTGATGAGCTCTGCCACAATGCAACCGGCGCTCCACATGTCAATCGCGGGATCATATTGCCGCTGACCCAGCAACAGCTCAGGGGCTCGGTACCATCGCTGACGAAAGAATGGACGCGCACGGCAATGTCGATGAGGAGATATGCAAGGCAAGCAGGAAAAAAAAAGAAAAAAAAAAGAAACAGTCTGAGTGAACAAAGGCGCTGCCATGGTCCTGACCGTGCACACGACGCCAGTGTAGCTCGCCGCAGCCTTGCCTTCCTTCATGTACCGCGCTAGGCCTGTGACAAAGCGGATGTGTGAGAGTGTGGCGAGGGCCCAAACACAACCATGTGCGACTGTGTGTGCACCTACCAAAATCGGCAATTTTGAGCACTCCCTCGCGGTTGAGCAAGAGGTTAGCCACTTTCAAGTCGCGATGCATCACTCGGTTTAAAGCTAGGTAGTTTAGGCCTGAGGGCCACGAGGTTTGCCGGACCGCGACGCGTTTTGTCATGCCAAAGGTGCAGACGAGAAAGGGCTTCGAGCAAAAAACAGGCACAACGGCTCACATCACGGCGCACAGATACTCACCTTTGAACAGGTCGAGGCACATGCCTTTGACTTCAGGAACGGTAAACTCGACGCCCTTGTTCAAAAGACCGGCCAAATCGTAGTCCATAAAATCAAACACCAGGTAAATGTCACCCAGCTGGCGATTATGATCAGTCGCTGCGCGCGCGCATGGTCGGGAGGAAAAGAAGTGAGGAGGGACAAGCTGGATGGGCGTGCGCGAGAAGGATGCAGAGGGAAAGAGGGAAGGAAGGAGAGAGAGAGTGTGGAGGCGGGTCAACCATCAAGGGCGATACAGGTGCCAATCGTCAGTGATGACGAAAGTGAAGACATTTGCACACGGCCACACCTTGGCTGTGAACGACTTCGTGCAATTTCAGCACGTTGGGATGGTCGAGTCGGCTCATGAGTGAGATCTCACGCAGGGCCGTCAATGGAAACTACAATGAAAAGGGAGAGAGACAGAAAAGAAGAAAGAGGAACAGCAAATCAGGCATCAGACGGCTCATTCACGCGCCGCCTGGTCGCCGCGCGAGTGCACCACCCGCTGCTCGTGGTCGGTGCCGAGCTCAAGGTAAGAACGGCATGGAACAAACGATTACAGCGACCGAGCGGTGGCATAATTCTTACCCCTTCCGTTTCGCCCTTCATAATGACCTTTTTCAGGGCGTAGATGACACCAGTCTCCTTGTGTTTGGCCTTGAAGACGGCACTACACGTTTGGCCCAGAAGCGCGCGTGAACGACACAGTTTGCGCCGAAACACCAAACTCGGACAGGAGCGGCGACATGACCACGGGGAGTGACACCTCCTGGGCCAAGTCCAACAATACGCACCCAAATTGACCCTTGCCCACTTGTCTGAGCTTGTCGTATTTTTCCGATTGCAGGGGACACCGCACAAATGGCCGGTGGGCCAAGGCATGCAGCCGAGACCGAGGCGCGGGCCCACCACTCGCCATCTCAACCGATGACGCCAAGGCAAATCAATCCGCGTCCCTCTGCCCAAAAAAAAAAAAAAAAAAAAAAAAAAATGAAGAGAGAGAGAGAGAGAGATGTCAGATGAAACAACGGCTTGTTCCATATCTGCAAATTCCCATTTAAAACCTTCACAAATATAAACTATATGCATTAACAAAACTACAACAAGTGGATATATACTGTATTAAAGTGACCCTTGCTTGTGTCAAGCTACGTGCTCCCCATTCTCATTTTCTTCTGCTGGTCTTTCAGGTGTGTGTGTGTGTGTGTGTGTGTGTGTGTGTGTGTGTGTGTGTGTGTGTGTGTGTGTGTGTGTGTGTGTGTGTGTGTGTGTGTGTGTGTGTGTGTGTGTGTGTGTGTGTGTGTGTGTGT